CCGGATGTGGGTAGTCTCATCCCGGAAGAGGGGGTGGTGTAAGGTAATTCCCTTTTCCTTACTGGGCTTGACTACAACGCGTATGCCCTTGACTCTCGGAAGTCCAGGCTCGGCCAACTTCTTCGGCCCAGAACCATTTCACGAACCCAAACCTCGACGCGCACCGCTTCCGTGGCTTTCGCCAACCGAGCCGCCCCAACCTCTTCGCGTGGTTCTCGGCTAGCTCTGTTTGTGCCTAAAAATGCCTCGACCCTCATTTGTATCGACACTCTTGAATCACGAATCCTTTATTACACTACCTGTTATTACTCATAATTCATAATTACAATCCCTAATTCATAACAGCTCACCTGCAAAATTACAACATTCTATAACTAGTAGCGATACGTGTTCGTCTTATCCAACACTCTCGACTTTCCATTAGTCTCACAATGGCACGGAATACATCTGCCAATTTCGCCATCTTCGCACTATTCGCCACAGGTGAGCATCCTTACAAGAGTTGTCTTCGAAGCTGTATGAAATTCCATAAAAAAACCCTTCGCCGAATACCGGTATCCAATCTCACTCGTCATTTTCTGTTCGGATTGCAGCACTTTTCGCACTACAAACGGAGGCGAGGTTCCTACTATTGTGAGTGGCACGTGATGCGCGAGCCACTTTTCTCTCTCCACTCCAACCCCTCCTCCTCCAAAACCGCTCATTACAATTCTTCACCTACCCCAACCCATTTCCCACCAAACCAACCTACTCTACCTACCAAATTTCCAACCCAAGTTTTCCAGCTCATCTCTTCCAACCTAAGGCCTCCCAACTACTCCTTAATTTTCCCCAACTCTCATAATCATTCCTAGTCCACCTCAACCAAGCTTCCAACAAATCCTCCTATTCATCTCCAACTCCTTCCTCAAGGCACATGACTCTTCATCATTTTCCATGTGCTCTCTCTTTCTACTGGACGAAGAACTGCTCCAAGTCATCACTCCAACCAATAATCCTCCTCACATGTGCCTCAAGCACATTCCTCCCTTCCTTGTCATCAACCTCCACATGCCCCTTATTTATTCCTTCCTTCCTTCCTATCCCAAGTCATCTAAGTTGCCATATCATCACACAAGACTCTCATGATTCCTTACATTCCTCACCTTCCAACTCAACAAAGCTTTCATTCCTCCTCCTTTCCTTCCTTTCCAATTCATCCAAGTTTCTCTCCAACACCACATGGTTTACAACTCCTGGTCACCAAAGCCTCAACAACCATCACATGCTCTGCTACTATTCATCTTCACCAAGAATCCTCTCCAATATCTCAAGAAGTTTCTCAAAGTACACCAAGGCACCTCCAAGCTCCTCTCCTTCAAGCTCCCCTTCAAGCCTACTTCAAGCTCCTCAAGTTCACACCACTACAAAGGCTCCTTGTTAGCATTCATGTTCTATGTCTCTAGAGATGGTATTACCATGCTACTCTTCTTCCTAGACTACTATGAGTGGTCTCTCTCTCATGCATGTCCTTGTATCCACCATGTATTATAAGGCCTGTACTATATTATCCTCTTTCATATAAGTTTATGCTCTCAGAGTACTCTTACAAAGTTCCTAGATTAGAGAAGTATTCAAGCACTAGACCACCTTATACCCAACTTGAGTATAAGGTGCATTACCAAGCCACAAGCTTGTAGGAAGACCCCTTCTTCAAGCACAAGACCCTCTCCTTCAACCACATCCAAGATTGTGGTCCCCTCTCAAGCTTGTGGTCTTCTTCCAAGCTCAAGACCCTTTTCCCAAGTGCAAGTCTTCCTCTATCAAGAACCGCTCCCAAGATTCTACAGCTTCTCTACCTTGTAAGACACACATAAGTAAGTCTCTCACTCTTCTTTACAAGCATCTCTCTCTCCACAAGTCCCCTTGTACTCACTTGAGTACCCTTCTTCCAATTATTTACAAGCACATTAAAATCCCATATATATGTGTTACTGTTCTACTGTTGCACTCTTGTCCTATTCAACCATACAATCATACTCTTTTGTCTTTATCTCGAATCTTATCACCTACTACCCAGCGGCGTTCATCCCACTATTCGCCTTCCAGCCGCTCTCAAGCCGTCCAACGCAGCCGCAGCCCTAACATCCAACTTCACATCGTCCCTAAATTCCAGCCTCGCGGATCTCGAGTCGTCGATGCGCAACCAAGTTGCGTCCCTCGACGCGGCTCTCAAGGGGTGCCTCGAGCATGTCGTGGCGAGCCTCAACGGCAACGCGTCAGCCGCCATTCTCATAGAAACAATATCGGAAGGTCATCAGCGTGAACCCCATCTGATACATACCAGAGTAAACCATACTGTTACCATAACAAATCGATTGCAACCTTGTTTCGGTCTGATTTTGGGGCCTTCCCACGGGAAATCGGCATTCCACGGACAGATTTGTCTAATCTCATAGCCTTTCAGCCAACATAGTCGCTTTTAGCTTCCTAACTCGCTAGTTTCCGACATGCCTTATTTCCCCTTGCTTTACGGTCACCTCGGTCAGAGTGTAAGCGACCTACAGGAGGGCGGTGGTGGGTGCAAATAGTGAGAAGCCACGGGAGGAGAACGGTAGGCACATTGTCCTTCCGGTCCAACAAGAACCCTGTGGTGAAGTGCGAGAAGACGTCGAGAAGGGCAAGGGCAACCGAGGGCGAGGGTGCCGGCTGGTTGGGTTGGTCGGTTGGCCCATCAGGAGGGTTGGATCCCCGGACCCCTCCCTCCGATGGGACAAGCTGCCGTATTAGAAGGGCAGGGTCTTTCCATTCCACCCCCCTTGCTTGGCCGCCCGCGAGGATAGGATCGATATAGAAGGGTCGTTTTTTTTTTTTGCGACCCCCGATCGTGCAAACGGATGATGACTGACAGAATAAAGAATTAAGGAATCAAGGATAAAAGGGGGGAGAATTATTAAAAAATCGAGGCAAGAAGGCGAGATGCAAACGTTGCGTCCACCCCCAATCGAGTTGGGGGGTTTGGGCTTCTAGGGTTGGGAGTTAGAGGGTCTCCCGGGTCCGGATGGGTCCGGTTGATCGAGTCGGATCCGGATGGGGTCGGATTCGGATGGGTTCAATCGATCGATCCGGATGGGTCCGGTCGATCGACTAGGTGCCGGATGAGTCCAGTCGATCGATTGGGGTCCGGATGGGGTCCGGTCGATCGATGGGGGTCCGGATGGGGCTCGGTCGATCGAAATCGGATCTGGATGGGGCTGGATTCGGACGGGTCCGGTCGATCGATTTGGGTCCGAATGGGGCCCGATCGATCGATCCGGATCCGGATGGGGCTGCATTCGGATGGGTCCGGACGATCGGCCCGGGTCCGGATGGGGTCTGCTCGATCGATTCGGGTCCGGATGCGGTCGGATTCGGATGGGTTCGATCGATTGATCCGGATGGGTCTGGTCAATCGACGCGGGGCCAAATGGGTCCGGTCGATCGATGGGGGTCCGGATGGGGCCCGGTCGATCGAATCGGATGCGGACATGGCTGGATTCGGATGGGTCCGGTCGGTCGATTTGGGTCCGAATGGGGCCCGATCGATCGATCCGGATCCGGATGGGGCTGGATTTGGATGGGCCCGGACGATCGGCCCGGGTCCAGATGGGGTCCGGTCGATCGATTCGGATCCGGATGGGGTCGGATTTGGATGGGCTCGATCGATCGATCCGGATGGGTCCGGTCGATCAATTGGGGTCCGGATGGGGCCCGGTCGATTGAATCGGATCCGGATGGGGCCCGGTCGATTGAATCAGATCCGGATGGGGCTGGATTTGTATGGGTCCGGGACGATCGGCCCGGGTCCGGATGGGGTCCGCTTGATCGATTCGGATCCGGATGGGGTCGGATTCGGATGGGCTCCATCGATCGATCCGGATGGGCCCGGTCGATCGATTGGGGTCCGGATGGGGCCCGGTTTATCGAATCGGGTCCGGATGGGGCTGGATCTGGATGGGTCTGGGACGATCGGCCCGGGTCCGGATGGGGTCCGGTCGATCGATTCGGATCCGGATGGGGTCCGATTCGGATGGGCTCCATCCATCAATCCGGATGGGTCCGGTCGATCGACCCGGGTCCGGATGGGGTCCGGTCGATCGATTCGGATCCGGATGGGGCTGGATTCGGATGGGTTCGATCGATCCGATCCGGATTGGTCCGGTCGATCGATTGGGGTCCGGATGGGGCCCGGTCCATCGATTCGGATCCGGATGGGGCTGGATTCGGATGGGTCCGGTCGATCGATTCGGGTCCGAATGGGGCCCGGTCGATCCATCTGGATCCGGATGGGGCTGGATTCGGATGGGTCCGGACGATCGGCCCGGGTCCTGATGGGGTCCGATCGATCGATTCAGATCCGGATGGGGTCCGATTCAGATCCGGATGGGGTCGGATTCGGATGGGTTCGATCGATCGATCCGGATGGGTCCGGTTGATCGATTGGTGTCCGGATGGGGCCCGGTCGATCGATTCGGATCCGGATGGGGCTGGATTCGGATGGGTCCGCGCGATCGATTCGGGTCCGAATGGGGCCCGGTCGATCCATCTGGATCCGGATGGGGCTGGATTCGGATGGGTCCGGTCGATCGACTTGGATCTGGATGGGGTCGGATTCGGATGGGTTCGATCGATCAATCCGGATGGGTCCGGTCGATCAATTGGGGTCACGGATGGGGCCCGGTCCATCGATTCGGATCCGAATGGGGCTGGATTCGGATGGGTCCGGTCGATCGATTTGGGTCCGGATGGGGCCCGGTCGATCGATTCGGATCCGGATGGGGCTGGATTAGGATGGGTTTGGTCGACCGACCCAGGTCCGAATGGGTCCGGTCGATAGATTTGGATCCGGATGGGTCCGGTCGATCGATTCGGGTCCAGATGGGTCCGGCGGATCGATTTGGATCCGGATGGGTTCGATCGATGGATCCGGATGGGTCCGGTCGATGGATCCGGATGTGTTTGGTCGATCGATCGGCCCGGGTCCGGATGGGTCCGATCGATCGACCCGAGTCCAGATACGGCTGGATCCGGATGGGTTCGGTCGATCGGCCCATGTCGAGGTTATGGAGACAGAAGCCTAGGAGGTAACTAATGTGATCCTCTAGGAGCATGTAGTCTAGGTGCGGGCTCACCAGCTGTAGACGGTGGGCAAGAAATCGGAGAGCGGAGGGAAGTACCCAGCGGTCTGGCTGAGAGACTGACCCGAACGAAGCCATCATGCCGAGAGGAGAGGCGACGAGGAACTCTAGAAACGAGGAGAAGAGTAGTGGGAGGTATAGGTGCTAGAGGAGTACAATCAGAGGTAGTAGCAAAGGCGACTGTGGCTGGAGCAGTGGCAGCGAGCACGAGGCTAGTAGCAGCAGCGGCTAGTCAGAGTAAGACGGCAGTAGCGGCTAGCTGGCGGCTAGCGGTAGGCTAGGAGTTGCTAGGAGGAGTGGGGAGCAAACGAGGAGGAAGTACGTGCGAGAGGATCTACTAGGAGCAGTACGCCAAGGAGCTAGCTAGGAGGCACTAGGAATGGCGGCACACGATGAAGGACAGTCCATAGGGCACGGGGGACTCACGTGGCAGATAGCCGACTGGCGACTGGCGGCAGGCGGCTGGTGGTCAGTGGCCGGCTGCGAGTGGTGGCGGCTGGCGGCTGACGGCTGAGGGTCAGCGGCCTGCTGCTGGTGGCTGGTGACTGGTGCTGGTGGCAGGTGGCCGGCTGCTGGAGGCCAAAGCTGAAGGTGGGCAACAGCAGTGGCGACAGGAGTAGCAGTGGTGGCTGCAGAGGCAGAGGCGGCTGTAGCGGCAGCGGTAGCGGCTGCAGTGGCGGCAGCAGTGGCCGCGGTAGTGGCGGCTGCAACGACAGTGGGTGGCAGTTGGCAGCAACGGGGCGGCAGCGGGCAGTATTAGCTGCGGTAGTGGCAGTGGGCGGCATCAGCCGGCGCTGGCTGCTCGCTGCTGGCAGTGTGCTGTTGGCGACTAGCGGCTGGCGCTGGTTGCTGGTTGCTGGCGCTGGTGGCGCTGGTGAGTCAGCAAGATGGCTGCTGGATGCTGGCGCTGGCTGCTGGCGCTGCTGGCTGCTAGCGCTGGCTGCTAGCACTGCTGGCTGCTGGTGCTGCTGGCTGCTGGCTGCTGGTGCTGGCTGCTAGCACTGGCTGCTAGCGCTGGCTGCTGGCGCTGGCTGGCGCTAGCGAGCTAGCTGGTGCTGGCTGCTGGCACTCGCGAACTGGCGCTGGCTGCTGGCTACTAGCGCTGGCTGCTGGCACTGCTGGCATGTAGGCAAGCAGGCGGGCTGGTGAGCAGTCGAGGGGGCAAGCAGGCCGGCAGGTGAGCTAGCGAGCAGGCGCGCAGGTGGGTTGGCGAGAAGGTGGGCTGACGGGCTGGCGAGGAGGCGAGGGTGCGAGCTGTCGAGCAGGTGGGCTTGCGGGCTGGCGAGCAGGTGGGTTGGCGAGCGTGCGAGCTAGCGAGCAGCCGAGTTGGCGGGTTGGCGAGTAGGCGAGAAGGCGGGCTAGAGATCAGGCGGGCTGGTGGGCAGGCGAGCAAGCGAGTCGGCGGGCGGGCGAGCCGGCAAGCAGGCTAGCGTGCAGGCTAGCGGGCTGGCGAGCAGGCAAGTAGGCGGGCTGACGCAAGGTGGGATGGCTACGAACTAAGGCGTTGGCAGGCGCGGGCTGGCTAGTGAGCTTGCTAACGAGCTGGCTAGCGTGCTGGCTTACGGGTTGGCTAGCTAGCTGGAGCGTTGGCTGGCGAGCTCGATAGCATGTAGGCTGGCGTGCTGGCCTGCTGACTATCGCACGAACAAATCAAACACTACAGAAGGGGGGGGGAGAGAGAGGTGCTCGAGGATATGAAGCGCGAAATTGGAGGGCAAGGGAGGTGCGCGAAATGGAAAGAGTGTCACTTGCGCGAAAAAGAAGAAGAAGAAGAAGAAGAAGAAGAAGAAGAAGAAGAAGAAGAAGAAGAAGAAGAAGAAGAAGAAGAAGAAGAAGAAGAAGAAGAAGAAGAAGAAGAAGAAGAAGAAGAAGAAGAAGAAGAAGAAGAAGAAGAAGAAGAAGAAGAAGAAAGAAGAAGAAGAAGAAGAAGAAGAAGAAGAAGAAGAAGAAGAAGAAGAAGAAGAAGAAGAAGAAGAAGAAGAAGAAGAAGAAGAAGAAGAAGAAGAAGAAGAAGAAGAAGAAGAAGAAGAAGAAGAAGAAGAAGAAGAAGAAGAAGAAGAAGAAGAAGAAGAAGAAGAAGAAGAAGAACGTGCGTAACGGCGGAAGCGAGAGGAACGGCGGAAAAAACTAACCATCGACACCTGAGGGCTGTACTCACTAAGAACTAAACTAGCTAGATGTAAGGAATTACGATTCCTGACTGGGGCTCGCCATAGCGAGTACACGCGAATAGTTCGCGTCCGCAGGCTCGGCCCTCAAGTCACGTGCCAAACCAGCCCCCGTCAACCTTTTTGGCCCCAACCTGATATCGAGTCGCTCCGAACCCATTTTGACCCCGTCACCCTCGGGACTATCAAGCCCTTGACTGGTCCAACCCTCGACATTCAACCTGGTCAACACACCTATATATTGCCTAGGCCTCATTTCTATCAACATTTTGTACAATTCTGTAATCACTTTCCCCTATAGAATTCTGCGCTTTACTCTGAGTTATAATTCATATCAGCTGATATCAGAGCTACTTTCCTGCACATTATGCTTCCCATAGGGAAGCAGACCCTATCGGGGAAGGGGGCGGAAGGATGCTGATGGCGAGCAGACATCGCGGAGATTAATTGCGCGGGCGTTGCCGATGCCGTCAGATCCTGTCCACTGGACAGCTGGGATTGGCCGGTCCTCCCCTTCCCTGGGCGTATACAGAATTATTTCTTGTCGAAGAGTGGGCGACGTTTTTTCTGTGTTTCTCGGGTATGTTCGTTAGAGCTTTCGTAATTTCGGGTGTTCGGATGGAGTCTTCGGATTGGCTTCCGAAAAAAAGCGAAGGCTTCGTCAGGAGAAGACAAGTGCACGGGAGTCCTCAGGCGGCCGGGAGTAGGTCGTCAGGAGCGCGCGGGGTGGCGAAAATGGCGGGATGTACGGCGATGTATGTCTGGTGCGCAATGAAGCTGCAGGGTGAACTGTAGCTGTGTCGCGGGTCCCGGCGTTTTCCGGCAGGCTAGTTGCAGGCGATGGACGGGACTTCAACACTATTTTGGCAATGGGCGGATCCGACATTTCGGAACGACACAATCACACGAGAAACGTGCGAGTGTGCAGCTGTGTGGGAGTAGCTGGGATTAACGACCTCGGCGCTATTCACCACGACGGCCATCTGGAGGTGATGACGCTGTGCTGGAGTGAGTGTACTCAGCGAGGGCGACTTCCCGCGTGGGGAGGCGTTTTTCGTGGACTAGCGCTTCATACCCCCACGATCAACGAAAAAGGCGGCCATCACCCCTGGGAGTGTATTAAGTGTTTTTCCACCGGTCGCTGAAAGCGTTAACTGCCAGGAGTTGGAGCAGTGGGAGAAGAACGACGAGAGTACTGGAGCAGATGGGTTAGCGGCATACGGGCTGCAAATCCCTCAGCTACGTCGCCCGAAAATCACCATTCCCACCAAGTAGCAGTGTTGACTTATTAATCGACGGCTTCTGGGTGAATAAGGGGGGTGAACCTGCGAAGTACACTATGCTGATGGAGTGTCCCCAAAATTTTAGGAGTTACTGTTGCCGCTGAAGGTTTCACCTGGTGCAGCAGAAGGAGGTTCCGACTTTTGCGAGTGTAGTTTGACGAGTTTCAGACGGAGGAGGGAGCTGTCCAGCGGTCAGTAGGCGAGCTCGTTAAAGCTCCTCTGACTAGAAGCGTGCGCACTCCTATCTCTGCGGATTCTCATAGTTAGTTAAGCAGCAGCAAAGCGGTCTTGGGTAACATGCAGCAGCCACGAGATGGGTCAACGACTCCACGGCTGGCTGGCAGGGGTACCAGAGTATTTTAAAGTTGGGTAACAGCTAGGAGAAGATCGACGGCGTAGGATGCGCATTGACCCTGATCGACGGCCAAAACATCATGCCGAGGCGGTGGACTCTAGTAAACCGTAATATAAAGGGTTCAGTTTATGCGTACAGCTGGTGGAGAAACCGTTGGGGTGCTGCTAAAGGACGCCGTGACGCCTGGGCATTTTTACGGGAAGCTGTCAAGCGGAGTTATGGTATTTGCTAAGTACCGAGTGGTTATGACATTTTCGGTGGGTTTGACGAGCAGTTCTAGAGTTTACAGCAGGAGTTATGCCCGATATCTTCAAGAGTACGCGCGACATCGACCGATATTCTCAGAATATTTTGGGTGCATGGAGGAGGAGAAGCGCAGCAGCAGTTTCGGCTCGTCCCGAAATTTTCGACATGTACGGACAAAGAAGTTGATGCAGCTGGCGTCATTTGACCCCTGGTTCATTTCGAGGATATTCATTGGAGTGGTTCAGTACAGGTTACAGGCCATCGCCAACGTCGCCTTCCTCTCGCCACTACCCGCTACCACCTTCATTCTCAATTCGCCTGATTGTGTAAACAAGACCTTGCCTCACAATCTGAATCGACAGCAGAAGTATCGAGACGAAAAGATTTTACAGCAGTACTGTTGGAGCTGTGTTGGGACCAGCTCGCAAGCAGTGCTCCTACTCATGCAGAATGTTAAGTTTGTCTGGGAGTCTTCCGGAGCAGTTACTCATGAGTTTCAAGACCCTTGTAACGGTTTTCCCTAGAGTAGTTTTCCACTCTGAAGCAGTTTGGGAGATGTACACGCTGGTTATTCGCTAGTTATCATTTCAAGATATTCATCTGCCACGCGCCATCATCAATCGACCACTCGACAGTTTCACTGTTCATTGTCTTCCGCTAGAGTATTTGCCCTTGCCCGTTTGGTAAGTAGAAGAATTCGACCATCTTCGACAGCTGAAATTAAAGCGATCGTTTCGACACTTTCTGACCATCGATCGCACATCGACCGCAAGATCTCGTCATACCAACGTAATCATTACGCTCGTCACAGGGCTGAAGACTTACAGTCATATCGGGGATTAACTTAGTTAAAAGGTTCGGTCTCGATACAGGGAGTGCCTTCCTTTAGAAGGTAGGAGAGTGTAAAAAATTACGATTCCTCACTGGGGCTTGCCACAGCGAGTACACGCGAACAGTTCGCGTCCGCAGGCTCGGCCCTCAAATCACGTGCCAAACCAGCCCCCGTCGACCTTTTCGACCCCAACCTGATCCCGAGTCGCCACGAACCCATTTTAACCCTGTCACCCTCGGGACTATCGAGCCCTGGACTGGTCCAACCCTCGACATTCAACCTGGTCAACACACCTATATATTGCCTAGGCCTCATTTCTATGAACATTCTATACAATTCTGTAATAACTTTCCCCCATAGTATTATGCGCAATACTCTGAGTTATAATTCATAACACTATGCTATAAACAAATATGACCTAGCTAATCTATATACGTACACTTGTTGACAGTTACCACCGCATCCACCAGGGACAGCAAGTAGAAGGTTTCTAACGTCTCAAAACAGTAGCAGCCTCAGTTTTTTAGGCATCGCAACACAGTCACCGCGGACAGCAAGGCGAAGCGGAGCAGATTTCGCCCGCTCCAGCTCGTTCACCGCGTCGTCCCCAAGTTTCACAGAGCCATGATATGGGACCCGTGGCTCATGGTGGGGCGCATCGCGTACTCTTTGGAGCGCCGCCGGAGGTGAGCTAACCACGACAGGGAAGGGCGATGCTACATTCACAATACAAGCGTATGGTCCTTTGAGTTGGCTCTAAAGTCGAGTTGCGACAGTTGTGTGTCGAGTCTGCTCTGCAGTAATGAGAGAACAGCGCGAGGGTTTTCAGGAAGAGCCTTATGGAAGAGACGCAGTTTGGAGCGCCACTAGAGGTAGGATGAGGGTGAAGCATGGGCTACAGAGTAATGCTTAGGCATAGAGTGATGCTTGGGCTGTGAGTCATGCTTGGGTTAGGAGTGGTACTTGGTTTAGATGTGATTCTTTGGCAAGCCAAGGAACCTGGGGGTGCTTTCGATATGAATTACTAAAGACGCTTGACGTTATCACTATTTCATATTGAAAATCGGCTTCTTTGCTGGCAGCAGCTGAGTGCATAATGGAAGGGGTTGGCTTGTTTCCTGACGAAAACGAGAAAGCTTCAGTCGAGTCACCTATAGCTTCTGTTCTGTCTTTTTCCAACACCACGTTCTCCGCTTGACGCCGTTTGCGCCTCGGCGTAACGCCTTGTCAACATATGTCCATCACCTTCCTTCACTGCCTGTCTCCGCGTGCGACTCGGACGAAGCGTAGCAGCCAGTCACGCGATGGAAATCCGCGGCCCGTGCCACATTTTCCCAGCATGCGAAGGAGCTATAAATCCAGCCTCGGGAATTCTCCTTCCATCAACCTCGAACATCTCTTCAGCTCCCAAATTCAGCTCCTCGGCCACTAGTCTCAGCGCCTCCACACGCAGTCTTTCGAACGATTCCACACTGAAATAAGATTTCAGCAACTAAGTAGCTCTCCTGTCGAGGTTTACTCGCCATTTAGTACGAAATTCCAGCGACTAATATCAGAGGTGCTTTCCGGCTCCTTACTCTGGTCGTACTCCTAGTTCCTCAATGGCGCGGAATTCAGCAGCCTCTCTTGCGATCTTCGCACTCTTCGCCACAGGTGAGCACTTGGCCAATCTGTCCGGTTTGGGTGTCCTTTGCTAGTAGTTTAGTCCGAGTCCTGTGCCAAGGACACCAAATGCTTGAATCTGTTCAACTTGAACAGCTTGCGTTCTTGCTTATGAAACTCCTCGGTTAGTAAATCCTGATACCCATTTCCATTTTCCGAATTCCTCTTAAATTGCAGCACTTTTCGCACTAGGAGCCAAGGCAAGGTTCCTACCCAGCGGCGTTCGTCCTGCCCTCAAGCCATCCAACGCAGCCGCAGCCCTAACATCCAACCTCACATCTTCCCTAAACTCCAGCCTCGCGGATCTCGAGTCGTCGTTGCAAGGCCAAGTCGCGTCCCTCGACGCGGCTCTCAAGGGGCGCCTCGAGCAGGTCGCGGCGAGCCTCAACGGCAACGCGTCAGCCGCTGATGCCGCCCTCCAGGCGCAGATATCCACGCTAAAAGCCAACCTCGCTACGCTCAACAGCACCCTCGCCGATCTCAACGCCACACTGAAGTCAAATCTCCTCTCAGCAGCGAATATCTCAGCTGCAAACATCACTTCTGCCCTGAACGCTCACCTCAACGCTCAGATCGCGGCGATCAAATCCAACATTTCCGCCGTCAGGGCGAGCGTCGACGCGCTCAACAAGGACCTGGCGGGCATAGTCGGCGCTGGGGTTGCTGCCAGGCCTTCTGGGGTTATTTCCGCCAGCGTCTCCTCTGCTGCAGCGATCCGCGCGCTGGTGAGGCAGCGGCTGTCGAGGAGAATGGGCGCAGTGACGCAGCGGATCGCGGGGATCAACGCGAACGTGTCGGCCGTCACACGCGCTCTCTACAGCGTGATCAACGGCGCTCTTAACGCGACTCTTAGCGGCGCTGCTAGCAGCACTGTCAGCGATGCTCTCAACGCCGTTTTGAACGGCAGCCTGGCGTCGGGTGCTGCGAGCCTGCTGCCCCAGCAGGCGGGCATGCTGCGGGGGGCGCTCACTTCGTGCAACGGACTGCAGACCCTTCAGGCTGGCGCCGCCAACGTCCAGATCCTCAAGACGTAAGAAACCCCAGCCCATTCCCTTCCCCCCCAACCCCCCTCTTCCCCCTCCCCCCTCCCCCCACCCCCCCCCCGCCCCTCCTCTCCCCCCCCCCCTTTCCCAACACATTTATAAGTTTTAAATCTGACTCGAGCATTCAACTTCTCACATGTCCTGTCTGCTATTCGTCTCTTGTTACAACACGGTCTCTGCTCTCGTGTTACACTGGCCCCTGTCTTCTCCCCCCGCAGCTCACTAACTACTTTCCTTCGCATCTCCCTGGCCCTCCCTTCCCCCACTGCAGTGGCTCCAGCTACATTGTCTCCTACTACCTCTACGCAGCGGGCATCAGCGAGGCTCCTCAGACCCAGGCCATCTACAAGGGCAGCCCCTGCAGCAGCACCGACGCCACCGTGGCGCTGAGCCTTCCTGGCACATGGCAGCTCATGAGTGCTGCATCCTGGTCCCTGGCCAATGTTGTGAGCGTGTCGGCTGCTGACGTGGCAGATGTGCTGGCATCGCTCCAGGAGACCACGAATGACAACCTGTACCTGGGGTTCTCTGGGAGTGATGGTGTGCTTTCAGGAAGGATGATTGGTGGGAAGTATTGATGAGACTGCAAAGGGGACGATTGGTAGGAACATGACAAATGCAGCAACCTTGAAAATGGAGTAAGTAGGAAGAGGGGTTGCATCTGTTATGTTCCAACCAGCATGTTTTATGTAGAACCCTCTTTATTGAAAATATATGCATTTTGTTTGGCCAACAGTTGGTGTGATAGTGGAAACATTTCTAAGAAGAATTTGTTGGAAGATTTTGCTTGTAAGGTGTGCGTCTTGTAGTTTATTAGTCAGATAGCAATATACCGTACTAAAGGACACTGCGTCGTACCACACCAGCTCTCATCTAATCCTAGGCACACCTTCGGCCGTAACAAAATCTGGCACGTTGTTCCTCACTCCCTAGGACGCAGATTTATTCCCTTAAAGCGCGGGTCTCGAGAAGCAAAAAACCAAATCCAAAAGGTTTGGTTTTGGGTTGACGAAATTAGCGAAACAGTAACAACGCCCAACTAGCACCCTCACCACACCTCGGAATTTTCGAGATCCCCCGAAACCAAAACCTTCGGGTTTGGTTTTCGCTTCTCGAGACCCTCGCTTTAAGTTACATCGCTTTCGGCCTACCTGGTTGCATACTTGCCGCAATCCTTGCCATCCTTTTCTCCCGACTTCCTAATTCGAATTAAGGCGACTTCTCGTTATGCTCGACCGTGTTATTCGGCGATAACGTAGACGACGTGGCCCAATCTCTGGTCCAGAACACTAGGCGTGTATCTGTCTCGCCTCTTCTGGTACCTTTTGAATCTAAGCGTTACATTTCTAGGCTCGACGTGCACGATGCCGTATCGCCAGCGGAAATTCCCGCCCGTACCGCCCGTATTGTAGATCGGTTGTATTAAGTAACAGAATCCGTTCTGCTTCTTTTAATACCTTCCGAATTCAAGCGTTTCGCCCCGCCGTGAACGGCAACCACCAGAGCCACCACGGACAGCAAGGCGAAGTTCGCTACACCCTCGAAAAAGAGGTGGTTACCCCCTCGAACCAAATTTAGCCTCATTTCTTGAGGCGCCTCAACACAGCCACCACGGACAGCAAGGCGAAGCGGCGCGGGTTCCGGCCGCTGCAGCTCCTCCACGAGGCCGTTGCGCGCCGAGTCGTCGCCATGTTTTACGGCGCGATGGTGTGGGACCCGTGGCTCATCGTGGCGCAGATCGCGTGCCTGCAGTCCTTGTTCTACCTCTCGCTCGGCGCGCTTCTGTGGCTCTTCGTCGGGTCGCACGTGCCGCGATTCACGCTTAAGTACTTCTTCGACTATTCCGTGATCTCCGTCTCCAGCTTCGTCGGCTGGTGCTGCATATTCGCGTTTCTGGCGAACGCGTTTGTAGGGTGCGTGCGTTGCGGGAGGAGTGGGTGGAGTGGGGGTGAGGTGCAGGGGGGGATTGAAAGGGGTGAGGGTCGAGGGCGGGAAGGGTGGGTGGGTGAGGGGTGGGGAGCAAAAGCCTTGTGGCATTGAGTTGGCTCTATGCGTGAATATTCATATGGTGCGCCTTGTAAACCCTTCGACTTCCCCCTCCCACTACCCTCTCTCCTCCTCCCCCCCCCCCCCCCCTCCCCCCTCGCTCCCCTCCCTCGCCTCCCTCACCTCCTCCTTCCCCCAGAGCCTTCTACCTGGTGGTGGTGGTGGAGCGCACCAAGAAGTGTCTCGACTTTGCGGCCACGGTGCATCTGCTGCACGCGCTGCTGTGCCTGCTCTACGCAAGCCCGCCCGCCTCCCTCTCCTTCTGGCTCACCTCCTTCCTCTCCTGCCTCCTCATGACTCTCCTGGGGGAGTGGCTGTGCCTGCAACGGGAGCAGAGGGAGATTCCTTTGAGCACTGGGGGAGCAGGAGGAGGACCTGCAGGGTCGAGTCGAGCCATGAGTAAGTCCCTTCTTCTTACTCGCTTTCCCTGCCTCCTCATGACTCACCTCCCTCCTCTCCTGCCTCCTCATGACTCTTCTCGGCGAGTGGTTGTGCCTGCAACGGCAGCAGCTCGAGATTCCTCTTTCGACGGGCGGTGCAGGGGGGTTTGCAGGGTCAAGGCGAGCCATGAGTAAGACTCCCGGTGACGTATGAGCTGACTCGCAAATCACTTACGTCTTCTCCTGCTTCCTCACGGCTCTTCTGAGGGAGCAGCAACTGCAGTGGTAGTCTGGCAGTCTGGTTCCTTCACAAAACCCCATCCCTCCCCCCCACCCTCTTCCCCAATTTCCGTCCCCTCTGCTCCCCTGCCCTTGCAACTCCAGATTGACTGCACTGCACGGTTGTGTTCATTTACCCACTCAAAAGTGCCAGGAATGCGAAAGCATGGGCCTGGCCTTCAGTGCTGCACTTCTTTGCTTAGCAGTCTGCACGGCAAATTGGCAACAAGGCTGTGGATTGAATGCGCGAGTCTATTTTTTAGGCACCTACAGATTCGAGGGTAAGGCTGTGGTCCGAATGCGCTGCAATCTCCACCACCAGATGCAGCGTGAGATATCAGAGGGGGCCAGGTTACCCAGATAACAGGTTTTGTTGCAACTTGCGGTTACTCAAGAGGCTAGAGCAGTATCTGATTGATACCCTCAGCTAATCTAGAAGTACCACGGTGCCCTTGGGGTTTTCAGTAAATAGTGCCACAAAGCATCATCCATTTCTTGCCAGAACAATTTCTGCTTTTTGGATGGACCTCAGCAAACTACTGTGTAACACTGGATTGCGAAACCTCAGTAGCTGCGGCCCCAGAGAGCCCACTTCTTGGCTGGCTTGCCCGAGGCGAAGCAGAGCGTGCCTGAAGGCAGTGAAGGCAGGAGGAAAAGGGAAGGGCCAGGCAAGGAGGAGAGGAGGGAGGGAGAAGAGCGGGGGGGTGGGTTGGGGGGGGGGGGGGGGGAGAGTTATCATGAATTGATGAGCCAAAAGGGGCCATACCTACAGGTTCCTGTGATGACTCATATCAGAGCCGTACACCGGCTCCACATACCAGCATTGCTGTGCCATGACATGCCATGCCATGCTGTGACATACCATCCATACCTGGGTATTATACCATGCCCACACACACATACCTTCAGGGAGCTCCGGCTACTCAAACGGCATGCAGAGCGTTTCCGCCGACCCGCCCTCCCCAGCAGCGCTTCTCTTCCACACATCCTCCTCCACCGCCTCCTCGTCGCACCACGGCGCCAGCACCATCTTCCAAGCATCTATCGGAGGCACAAGGGTGCTATGACCCAACACCCCTCTCTATAATAGCCTTCATTATAAGGTCATACCTTCGGACAGCTCTGGCTGCTCAAATGGCATGCAGAGCGTCTTGGCCGAATCGCCCTCTCCAGCGGCACTCCTCTTCCTTACATCCTCCTCCACCGCCTCTTCATCACACCAAAGCGCCAGCACCATCTTCCGCGCATCGATGGCCGGCATGACATTTCCATAGTCAATGGCATCCACGCGGCATACTTCTAGGGCCACATTGCACTAGTAGGATCGTACCTTCCGGCAGCTCCGGCTGCTCGAATGGCATGCACAGCGTTTTCGCCGACCCACCCTCCCCAGCAGCGCTTCTCTTCCGCACATCCTCCTCCACCGCCTCCTCGTCGCACCACGGCGCCAGCACCATCTTCCGCTCGTCGATGGCCGGCATAAACTCCTCCCACTTGGTGATCTTCACAATACTCTCGTCGCGCTCCTTGGTGGCCCGCGCCAGCATGTCCGCGTGAATCGTCGCCAAGAGGGCCTTTACCCGCTCGCCCAGCCCCTCCCACGGGGCGGATTCTTTCGCTCCGGTGTCGCGACGCACCAACACCACCTGAGTGGGATAGGGAGGACGGGGAGGAAAGGGAGGACAGGGAGGACCCAAGCATATCCGTATGCTGCGTGCAAGCCCCTCAGCACCATCATCTTTGCGTCGATCGATTGCAGGCATGATCAGGAACTCGTCCCACTGGGTGACCTTCTGGGGTTTGTGGGGAAAGCCGCCAAGTCACACTGAGAACCATGGGAGCACCAACAAGAGCACCTTCTGCCATCTCCTCCCACCCGCCGCACACCCACCCACCTCCCACCCACCTGCTTGTTTGCGAGGTCCCTGGAGCCCACCTCCACGCGGATGAGAACACCCTGCAGCTCCCAGACGTTGTACTTCAAGCCCGGGGAGTAGTTGTCCCTAGCTCTGATGAAGTGAGGTAAGTTCTGTGCTCAACTCACCTGCTTGTTGGCCAGGTCCCTGGGGCCCAGCTCCACACGGATAGGAACGCCCCTGAGCTCCCAGAAGTTGTACTTAAAGCCCGGGGAGTAGTTATCCCTTGCATCCTCCTTCACCCGGACCCCCGCTGCCCGCAGCTGGCTGCCCACGTCAGCCGCTGCCGCCACCACGGCCGCCCGGTCGGCATCCTTGAAGGGGATGGGCACCACTATGGCTTGGATGGGCGCCACGTTAGGGGGTAAGACGAGGCCCTTGTCGTCTGAATGCACCATCACCATCACTCCGATCTGAGGGTGAGGGGGAAGGGGGGGGATGCGCGGGGGGGGAAGTGACGAAGGGGAGAAAATGGAGCACGAAAATGAGGTATAGGGGCTTCCAACGCAGCTGGTGCTGCCACCATGGCCGGGCTGTGGGCGTCCTTGAAGGGGATGGGCACCACTATGGCTGGGATGGGCGCCACGTTGGGAGGGAGGGGGAACCAGACCCTTGTCGTCTGAATGCACTATCACCATCACTCCGGTCTGAGGGTGAGGGGGTGGGGGGGAGGTGAGGGGAAGTGGGACACTGGAAGGGATGCATATGACTTACGAGTCAACTAAAAAGACAAGATGGGGAAGAGGGGTACAACATGTTCAAGGGGAACACCACCGGGCCTTTGCTGCCTGAATGCACCATGCATGCACCATGCATGCACCATGCATGCACCATGCATGCACCATGCATGCACCAAGCACCGTGCATGCACCATGCATGCACCAAGCACCGTGCAGCATCACTCCAATCTGAGCAGGCGTTCCCCTGTGACTCACTGAGCGCGTGGAAAGCCCCCAGCTGTTCTGCCAGACCATCTGCTTGGCGCCCTTGTCGTCCTCAAACTCGATCTCAAACATCTTGGCGAAGTTCTGCCCCAGGCAATGGGATGTCGCCGACTGGATGCCGCGGCCCGTCGCTGGGATGAACGCCTGCAGATAAAGGGCAGGAGGGCAGAAAACAAGGGGAAACGGCGGAGAGAGAAGGGAATGGAGGGAGGGAGCAGCATGGTTGGCGCCCTTGTCGTCCTCAAACTCGATCTCAAACACCCTGGCAAAGTTCTGCCCTAGGCAGTGCAACATGGCCGATTGGATGCCCCTGCCGGTTGCTGGGATGAGCGCCTGGCAGGGTCATTTTTTAGAATTCTAAAAAATGACTCCACTGCAGACAAGGGCAAAGAGGGGCGAGACGGGAGGACGGTGTTTGGCGCCAAAAATTCAGCGCTGCCCTCCCGCACACTTATCCCTCCATTCAGATCTCCCTTCCTCAACGCTTCACCCTCACTCTCTCTTCATACGTACCTCCACTGTGGTGGTGTAGATCCCACCTACGAACTTCCCCCTCTCGCTCTTGACGCCCTTCACAACAGGCACGGCAAGCAGCTCCTCGCAGATGCGGCGCTACAGCTCCAGAATGGCCACAGGCTAGCAGTGCACCACCTCCACGTGCCCTTCACATGCACCAGAGAAGCGCTACAACCCAGCTGTTCACACCCCACAACACTGACCTCCACAGTGGTGATGTAGAGCCCGCCTGCGAACTTCTCCCACTCGCTCTTGACGCCCTTCACCACCGGCACGGCAAGCAGCTCCTCATAGATGCGGCGGTACAGCGCCAGGGTGGCTACAGGCGACCACCTCTAAGAGCTCAAATCAGATCCACCTCACCATACCACGGCTGAATCCCACTGCTTACCTCCACAGTGGTGGTGTAGAGCCCGCCTGCGAACTTCTCGCGCTCGCTCTTGACGCCCTTCACCACAGGCACGGCTAGAAGCTCCTCATAGATGCGGCGGTACAGTTCTAGAATGGCCAACACCTCCACGTCGGCCTCCTCCTTGGACGCAAAGGCCGTGTGGCCCTCCTGCCACAGGAACTCGCGACTCCTGCTCCAGAGGGGGGGAGGGGGGGAGGATGTGAGCAGGAGGGAGGGAAAGGAGGATGTGTGATTGAGGGAGGAAGCAAAGGCCGTGTAGCCCTCCTGCCACAGGAACTCGCGGCTCCTGTGGGAGAGGGTTGATGAAGGGAGTAGGGAGTTTGAACTCCCAGCGTACGACGCTGTTCCAGTGGTTGAGCTTGCCTCACTCGTGCCCATCCCATCCACACGCGTGCACTCGCTCGTCTTCCCCCCCCAAGCCCCCCTCTCCTTCCCCCCCTTCCTCTCCTCTTCGCACCCCCCACACACACTCGACCCCACCTGATGAATGGCGTGGGATGCTTGAACTCCCAGCGCACGACGCTGTTCCACTGGTTGAGCTTGAGCGGCAGGTCGCGGTGGGAGTGGATCCACTTGGCGTAGATGGGGTACATCACCGTCTCGCTGGTGGGGCGGATGGCGATGGGCACATCCAGCTCCGACTGGCCTGACTTGGTCACCCAGGCCACCTGAGAGAAGGAACGGGAGGAGAGAGGGGAACCGACTTTTGAATCGACTTTTGAGGCGACTCTTGAGGCGCCTCAAGAGAGGGGAAACGGATGAGAATGTTGAGAATGGGTCCCCTTGGTTTTGCAGGGTGTTTTTGAGAATTCTCAAAAACACCCTGCAAAGAGAAGGAACGGGAGGAGAGAGGGGAAACGGATGAGAATATTGAGAATGGGTCCCCTTGGCGTAGATGAAGCACATCACCACCACCACCACGACGACGACCACCACCACCACTGCACTTCACTTCCTCACATTACTACAAGCACATCAGACGTATCCCTCTCGCTATAATCACACTCGAAGCCACAGTCTCACCTCAGGAGCGAAGCCCTCAACATGGTCCGTCTCGGCACTAAGGGCCCTCTCAGATACGGATCATGGGGAAGTAGGTAGGAGCTTTGCACGCCTTCTTGCTGAAATTGTCCCTCTCGCTATAATCCCAACAAACAAGCCCACTGCAGTCACAGTTACGGTCCCTCACCTCAGGGGCGAAGCCCTCGACGTGGTCCTTCTCGGCGTTGAGCGCCCTCTCAGAGACGAACATGGGAAAGTAGGAGTTCTGCACGCCCAGCTGCTTGATCTCCGCGTCGAAGAAATCCTGAGGGGAGAGGGGAGGGGAGAGAGGGACGAGGAGAGAAGAGGGGATAGGAGCGTGAGGAGGAGGCAGGAGGGCGAGCAAGCATGAGAAAGCGAGCGTGAGAAAATTGTGTGTGAGATATTATTTCAAACATCAACAGTGCCTTCTCCTCAAAGCAAAACAATCTGATAAGGAAGCCAGTAATACCTTGATGGTTTCCCAGACGGAGTGGGTGGGACCAGGGTCGGAGAATGCAGCATCCGGACACGTCGTAGCACTCGATGAGCTCTGATTGAATTGAACCACCACCGCCGAGTACCATTTCCCATCGTCCTCCATATCCCAGTACCCATCTCACCTCACCTTGATTGTCCCCTGGCTGAGGAGAAGGACCAGGGTCGGATTATGACCAGAGAGTCGACATCAGAGCATCCGTGCTACCTTGAATCGGATGTCACACGTTGATGTCAGTATTACCGTACCTTGATGGTTTCCCAGATGGAGTAGGACCAGGGTCGCAGGATGTAGCATCCGGAGACGTCATAGTACTCGATGAGCTCTGATTGGACCACCACCTCCGAGTACCACTTCCCATAGTCCTCCGATTTCTTAACCGACAAGCCCAGGAGCGTTTCCTTCTTCACCTCCTTCTTCCCTCCTCCGCCTCCGCCGCCTCCTTGTTGATTGGGCTTCTTCTCCTTGGGAACCTTCTCCTTCTTGGGTTTTTCTTTCTTTTCCTTCTTCTCTTTGGGCTCCTTGTGCTCAGCGGCCGGCTTATCGGCGATTGACAGGTCAGCAGCGGCTGCAGCCGTCGCGTCGACGGTCTCTGCTGCGGGAGCGGCTTGATCCTGATGGATCGAAAGGAGGAGAACGCAGCGTGAAGTAGTGGAGCGTCGCGTCGCAAATGAAAAGGGAGAAGATGTAAAATGAGAAAAAAATGTTTCCTGACAGGCTGCGTGAAAATGGTCAGCGAAATATCAAGTCGGAAATGTCAGCAATGACATGATACCAGAGAAGTGATAGAAGATTGTAGCCGTCTAAAAACTATCTTCTATCGACTCGGAAACGTGATATAAGGTTGGTTTTGAGACGTCTCAAAACAATCTTCTATCGACTTGGAAACGTCAGCAATGGGATGATGCCAGAGAAGTTCTGTAACTTAGATTGCCTCAAGAAGCTCGCTACACGGTAGCCCTCGCATTTTTCAAACATCTCATGCCATGTCAAGGCTCGCATATGCAAAAGCATCCTTAATGTGGATTGCTGGTTGCGAGGTCTAGGGTTTTAAAATCCAGCTCCTGAGGTAGAAACTGGTAGGTGTAAGCCACCACGCCTGAGGATGCCTAAAGCGCGAAGACTAATGCCTAAGTAGCCAAGGGATTAGTAATGTATGCGTTGCCTTACATCTACGTGACCGTCACGCACAAACGGAACCTGACGGCGGATGAAGTCCGGATCAGCAACGCACCTTATCCATCGTCGCGAGCACTGCGAGAATAAACGATATTAGTAGCGAAGGGGAACGGCGGCCACTGTCCAAAGCGCTAGGAAGTGAGCTTCACCAAGAATGGCGCCGTGCCGTGGCTCCGTGAAAGGATCAGAATTCCAGAATCTGGATCCCAAGGCCGAAGGAAAGAAGAGGTGGATGAAAATGGCTGTGGTGCTTGAGGATGGCCTCCGCCACGGTGACTGGCTGACTTCGGGATTGTCGAAATCGGTGAACGTTGAAATCAGCCATGAAGCTACAATTAGCATTCACACTTACTCACGTTATAGCTACAACATAAATGAAATGTTTTAAAAAGATATTGCTTATAAGCTCACATATGGCATGTGCATCAGCATCTGAAAACATATCGAAACGATGCCATGTAAAATATCTCAAATTTGTATAAACATACACCCAGGGCTCTCGACATCAGACAAAATCCGTCTGTTTGTCTGATTTTCAGACTCTTTTTTAGGCGTTCCTCTGATTTTTTAGAAACGTATTTCTAGAATTTCTGATGCCCTAGAAACTGAATTATAGTCCTTCTGAAATTTCAGAATGTGTGTTCTTGTTCTTCAGATTCTACAGACTTAGCGAATACGTTCGTCTGAAACCGATTACTGTGAGGTTGCATCCAGCCCCCCCAAAATCCCCGCGTGTACAGCAAATCGCTCGATAGCACGCCCAGTGGGGCATCATTACTTATAGTTTCAGCGCCAGCACAACGTCGGTGAGACAAGTGCTGAGTCATATGTTGCTCACGGTGTGGCGCCGCAGTGGGCGATTGAGTCAGCCGTGTAGTCTCATTGGCCCATCCCCTTCCAACACACAATGACTCTCCACAATTGCCCTCAGTGCATCCATGTATTGGCAGCATCTCTCTCCCCCATTGGCTTGTCCTGTTAGACAGGGCAGAGCCCCTCCCATTGGCTTGTCCTGCTATGTAAGGCAGCCGGGCCTCTCCAATTGGGTTGTCCTATTAGCCATTGCAGCATACTCTCCCATTGGCTTGTCGCAACATGCATTCCTAGCTGGCCTCCCCACGAACCTTCATCTTAGGGGGAACACTCTAATCTACAGCATTGAAACAGCTTGCGGTTCGATGCATGCTGAAAGAGAGGTGGGGAACTCCCTTTCTTCTTCACCCTTCTCTTCGACAAGCTCCCCTGTCCGCCAGTATGCCCTGGTTTCACTATCGTTACCGCACCAGGTTGGACATGCCTCGTAGCGTACCTCACTCGTTTGCTGCGTCAATGCGTTTTAGATGGCTGGCAGCGCCTCCACTGATGACGGCGCCGCCGCCATAGCACAGCCCGTTCCTGCTACAGCACCCCTAATGAGGGGCCTGGATTTTCTACGCCAGCCTCCGCCTAGGCGAGAGACGCCAGAGGCCGTGCCCGCGCTAGCTGTTAGTTCCCCAGCCGTGCCTCTACCTTTCTCTGACTTACTCCCGGACATTGATGCTGAGCCTTTGCTCGCATCCACTCCTGCTGCCTCTCCTAGCTCTCCCACTGCTTCCGCGGGGATCCCTTCGCCTCCACTCTCAGTAGCCACGATCCCAGCGCTGCCTTCAAGACTGCCTGCTGGAAGGTACACGCAAAGCACCATTCGATTTGCGCGTACCCGAGTTCCTCACATCAGGCTAGAGACTTCCCGACCTGCTGCTGATGCAACGCCATCTGCGACCCCAGATGCGGGAACGTCTGCTTCAGCCTCTGATCCGACGCCGAGCACGGGAAGCCACTCTCGTCTCATCCCCGACCCCGATGCACTTCTTGCAGAACTGAAGGCGAAGGTCGAAGAGCAGTGGGTGCGAAAATTCCCCTGGGTGCTCATCGACCAACGCCCCGACGGACGTCCGTGCATGAAGTGTCGATTGTGCATGGCGCACGCTCCTCCGAAGTGGCAGTACGGCAAATACGGCAATGGAGCTGTCGATATTCAGAAGTAGACGATGGTGAAGCACTCCCAAAGCAAGAAGCACGAGGCTGCGGAGGATCGGCAGAAACAGTTGGATGGCCTAAACGCTGCGCAGCCGAGCATTGTCGATTTCAACGACAATCAGGGAGCCGACGCGCGGCTCAGGCAGTTGATGATTGTTGTGCTTTGGATTTGCAAGTCTGATGCTTCTATTGCCATGTTTGTTTCTCTGGTCCGTCTTCTCTATGATCTCCGCACTCCCCACATCCCCGAGAAATCCCCGGGTCTTACCAATCTGAGTAAGTTGGGCTCTGCAATCGTTTTGGTTAACTTAAATGTTAAAAACTCTCTAATCGTTGATCTTTTTTCTGCTGTAGGTACGGCTCCAAGCAAATCACATAAGCACTCGCCGTTTACCTACGAGCACAGCAGATGAAGCACATTCAACATTCGCCATTCGTGGGCATCCAGCTCGACGAGAGCACCGATAGGAGGCGTGGTAAACACATGATTGTGTACCTCACCTTCATGAAGAACGCCAAGGTGGTGACCGAGTTTTTCGGGCACCTAACAGTTAAGAGGTGTGATGCGACCTCTCTACTGACGCTGCTGCTGGACCACCTTGAAGCCACCTCCGTAGACCTGAACAAAATCAGTGGTATCAGCACTGATGGAGCCAGCGTCATGACGGGGGCAAACCGCAACCTTGTCGCTCAGCTTCGCGCCAGGGTCCCGCATCTCGTGTCCTGTCATTGCATTGCTACAGGTGAGATTGTTGAATCATACAGTTGTATGGTGGTACCCTGGCATCCAGAAACATCGCTAATCTTAGTTACGTGCTCTTTGCAGAGAGGCGCTCGCGGCTAAGGACGCTGCCAACGATTGTCCTGACCTCGATATCGTCGACAAAGTCGTCCGAAGCCTAGCCGACATCCTTGGCCGCTCCATTGTCGTGCACTCAAGATTCCAGGAGCTGCAGAGTTTCATCCACGACACGACACTCGAAATGCAGGGTATCAAAGACATTCGCTGGTTGTCTCGCGGTGATGCCATTCAGCGTCTCGTGCAAGTCTTTCCGGCTACAGTGTTGCTGTTGTATGAGTTCGATGATGACATGTACCATGTCGTTAGCAGCTTTAAGTTCCACTTCCTTCTGTTTTTCCTGGCTGATGTTCTTAAGGAGCTCAACAACTTGAACAAGAAGTTCCAGCGCTGTGCCCCTGCGTGCACTTTTTAATATCTTGTTCCTAAACTTATTAACTCTCCTGTCCCTTCAACTAATTTACCTTATGTCCTTCCCACAGGTCGACATCACCAAGGTGGCCCAGCTAGTAGAGAACACATGCAGCATCCTCCGCTCTCGCTACGTGGAGTATGGCGTCAACTTCGGCGAGGATTCCAAGCTACTCACCGAGTTTTTGGAGGAGCATGGCCCGAAGAACAAGCGGATGGTGACAGTGGAGGGCATTGACGGCGCTGGCAACCCGACGGCTCACACCTTTAAGCTGCACGAGAAAGCTCTGTCAGGCCAGAAGAGTGAGGGAGACATGGAGTCATGCATCTCCCTTGTCACCCTTTTTGTGCAGGCCATCATCCGCAACTTGGAGTCGCGGATGGAGAGCCTCAACAGTCTCCGTGGGTCGAAACAATTCTTCCCCGACGCTTACCCCGACTCCGTTGCAAAGCGCGACCGTCTGTGCGCCGAGTGGTTCGGTTCACTAAAGGTCCTCTTCAACGCCGAGCAGTGTGCCTTGCCGGGTGAGGATTTCTTCACTCAACCTTACATTAACCATGCACGTGGAAGCCCTCCCCCCCCTCCCACCTTGTGATGTGTCAGGCTGTGACTTAGTGACTTGTGGTTATTTACCCTGCCCTGTTCAGGAGTTGATTGGGGCAAGGCGGAAAGGGAGCTGCCTCGATTCACACGCATGCTCCACAGTCATTACAAGGATACGTCATTCCACAACTGCTTGAAGAACATTCTCAGATCCGAAGACTGGCGCACCTCCTACCCCAACCTCGTCCGCTTGTGGGTGGCTGTTGCTGTTCTGCCTCTCAGCACAGTAGAGTGCGAGCGCGGCTTTAGCCGCCAGAACATCACTAAGTCTTGGTTGCGTGTGAATTTGTGCGATGCCCGACTGACTGACCTGATGTGCATTTCGTTGCTAGAGTACCCGATGATGTGGGAAGATGTCATGGCTAACTTCCGTGCTTCAGTGCAGCGGCGGCAGGCAACAAATGTCGCGATGTCCCCAGCTGAGCCGCCTCTCAGCCAGAAGAGGAAGAAAGACAAGGCGGTCAGCAAGAAGAAAAAGTGTCTTAAGAACGATGATGAGGCTGTAGATGTGCGCGGCACTATAAATGTAGATTGTGATTCTGATAAGGTAAATGGCTTAATGATTTGGTGAAATATCGTTTTCGCCTAATGATTAGGTACAAACTTAGAAATGTAAGGCTGGAACTTCTGATCTCCTAGAAACTCTACTCTAAAACCTCTGATTATTCAGAAACTGAAAGATCGGGCGTCTGATAATCGGACAGGCCCTAAGGGCCCGTCTGATCGCCTAGAAAGTGGAAAATACCTAGCGAGAGCCCTGCATACACCGGTAGCCATGTTCAGTCCAAATTCACGTCTTCACCATATGCCTCAGCATCATCATGAAAGAGCAGCATTGGCAAGGCTCTCAAGTGATAGGCTCTTGGCAATGTCTGCAAGGCCGGATGATCGAACTGCATACTCCGCGACCAGGCGAGAAAACATGGACTCGGGGTCTTGCAGAAGCTGAGCTGGTGAGTTGCACTCTGCCACGGTACCTAGGAAGTGGATTGGGGCAAAGGTGGCAAGGGGAGAGATGACGAGGCATGGTTGAGCTCAGCTGGTGAGTTGCACGGAATACATCACCTATAATTCACCTTTGTTGACTCACCTTGGTCCATCACCACCACCATATCACTGTCAATGACTGTTGCTATCCGGTGCGCAATGCTGATGATGGTGGCCCGGCCGAAGCTCTCCTTTATCGTCCGTTGGATCGCCACATCGGTGGCAGAATCAACGGACGCCGTCGCTTCATCCAGCACGAGAATCCGCGAGTTCTTGAGCAGGGCTCGACCCAGGCAGAAGAGCTGTCTCTGTCCCACGCTCCAGTTCTCCCCTCCCTCCACCACTGCAGCAAAAAGCGTGGGAAGGGAGCCATGGGAGGTCGAAGGGAAGTACAAGAGGTGTGGATGCGACGGAGAAGGTCACCAGGTGAAGCAGGTCGACCCAGGCAGAAGAGCTGCCTCCGCCCCACGCTCCAGTTCTCCCCTCCCTCCACCACTCCTACCACGACGCACACACGCCCACACGATAAACGGCAGAGAAGCAAACCTCACTTTGTACAGGTGGAAGAGGGTCTATACGGAGTGCAGCCTTACAAGGGCTTCTTTAATGCTTGACCAGAGCCCCGATTGCAACCTCCCCCCTAATCCTTCCAACCCAGTACACCCCATCCTCTACAGTCTTACCCTGTGCCTCTAGCTTCGCCTCCATGCCTCTGACAGTATCCCCCAGCTGGCATCTGTCCAACGCCTGGAGGCAGGGAAGGAGTGGAGGGGAGGCAAGACAGAGACGGAGACAGGAAGAAGGGCAGGGGGGGACGGCAGGAGAGAGGGAGGGAGGGAGGGAGTGAGGGAGACAATCAGACAGAAAAGCAATATGCCTTACTGTATCCCCCAACTGTCCCCTCAGGGCCCTTTCCCATGTCTGAGCGTCGCTGTACTTCTAAAAGACCCCTGGAAACGGCGTTGGATCCAGAGGTATTATCGGCAGCCGCCCCATAAAGTCGCCTCCAGGCTGTTTGCTCTTTCTACTCCCTCCAAGACTCACCTCCCATATCTGCGCGTCGCTGTACTCCCCTGCGGGATCCAGGTTCATCCTGATAGGCCCCTGGAAAAGTGTCGGGTCCTGCGGTATTATCGCCAGTCGCCCCCTCAGATCACCCAATCCGATGCTCCCAATGTCCACGTCATCAATCAGCACCCTGCCGGACGCCGGCTCGACCAATCGGAAGAGAGCAGCGACAAGTGTTGACTTGCCGCTGCCAGTGCGGCCAACAATGCCGACCTTGTGGCCGCCCTGTATCGTCAGAGTCACTCCCTTCAGCACCATGGGGAGGTCTGGCCGGTACTGGACCTGGGGAGGGGGAGAGGTTGGGGAGAGCAAGTGACTTGGTTAATTGAAGGCCATCAAACGCCCACCTGACGGCCGTCAAACGCCTACCTGAAGGCCGTCAAACGCCCACCTGAAGGCCGTCAAACGCCCACCTGAAGGCCGTCAAACGCCCACCTGAAGGCCGTCAAACGCCCACATGAAGGTCGTCAAACGCCCACCTGAAGGTTGTCAAACGCCCACCTGAAGACCGTCAAACGCCCACCTGAAGACTGTCAAACGCCGACCTGAAGGCCGTCAAACGCCCACCTGAAGGCCGTCAAACTCCGCCTGCCCCTGCTACAGCAGCCAGTCTGGCATCGGCTGGTGGTTAGGCACAACCAAATGACCAGAGGGGCTTCATAGGGCACTGCAGGGTGCGAGAACTGCAGAATCCGCTCCACTGATACCATGTGGTTCTCAAGTCCGCACCACCACGCTCTCCCCTGAAGGCCATCCATCCACCACCCACCTGCAGATTGTCGAACTCCACCCGCCCGTGCTGCGGCCAGTCCCCAGATGGTCTATGGCTGTGAACGACCAGAGGCGCTTCAGAGGGCACTGCGGGGTGGGAGAACTGCAGAATCCGCTCCACTGATACCATCTGGTTCTCCAGCCCGCACCACGCCCACACAACGAAGAAAAGACCCTGGGACAAAGCGAGCCCGTAGGAGAGAGACATGCCTGCCAGGCCTGGGGTAGGTCCGGGGGTAAGGGACAGAATGGGAGAGTCATGGATGGAAAGACATAGGGTAGAAGGCGCGTTTGAGTCGACTCAAAAGAAAGACATGGGGTAGAAGGCGCGTTTGAGTCGACTCAAAAGAAAGACATAGGGTAGAAGGCGCGTTTGAGTCGACTCAAAAGAAAGACATGGGGTAGAAGGCGCGTTTGAGTCGACTCAAAAGAAAGACATAGGGTAGAAGGCGCGTTTGAGTCGACTCAAAAGAAAGACATAGGGTAGAAGGCGCGTTTGAGTCGACTCAAAAGAAAGACATGGGGTAGAAGGCGCGTTTGAGTCGACTCAAAAGAAAGACATAGGGTAGAAGGCGCGTTTGAGTCGACTCAAAAGAAAGACATAGGGTAGAAGGCGCTTTTGAGTCGACTCAAAAGAAAGACATAGGGTAGAAGGCGCTTTTGAGTTGACTCAAAAGAAAGACATAGGGTAGAAGGCGCTTTTGAGTCGACTCAAAAGAAAGACATAGGGTAGAAGGCGCGTTTGAGTCGACTCAAAAGAAAGACATAGGGTAGAAGGCGCGTTTTAGTCGACTCAAAAGAAAGACATGGGGTAGAAGGCGCGTTTGAGTCGACTCAAAAGAAAGACATAGGGTGGAAGGCGCGTTTGAGTCGACTCAAAAGAAAGACATAGGGTTGAAGGCGCGTTTGAGTCGACTCAAAAGAAAGACATAGGGTAGAAGGCGCTTTTGAGTCGACTCAAAAGAAAGACATAGGGTAGAAGGCGCTTTTGAGTTGACTCAAAAGAAAGACATAGGGTAGAAGGCGTTTTTGAGTCGACTCAAAAGAAAGACATAGGGTAAGAAGGCGCGTTTGAGTCGACTCAAAAGAAAGACACAGGGTAGAAGGCGCTTTTGAGTCGACTCAAAAGAAAGACATAGGGTAGAAGCGCGTTTGAGTCGTCTAAAAAAAACGACATAGGGTAGAAGGCGAGAAGAGGCGGACTCGCTCCACTGACACCATCTGATTCTCAAACCAGCACCCCGAATAGAAGGCCTCGAGAGAGAGGGAGAGACCACAGGAGAGAGCCTGCAGTCCACTCTCTTTCCCACCCAACTATCTCCCACACACAGACACAAACCGACACACTGTCTCACTCTACCTGGCGACACCACCGAAGCCGGCAGCAGTGTGAGCATGAGCGCGGAGAAGCAGAGCAGCAGCGACCCCAGCAGCTCCAGGCGGAAGCCAAGCCACTCCACCGCCGCGCGGCTGCACCACGCCACACGCGTGTTGGCATCCACTCGGGCTGCACTATTGCGGGCGAATCGTGGCTCCTGAGCAAAGGCGCGGATCACTGCAGCCCCCGCCAGCGACCTAGGGGGGTGGGGGGTGGGAGGAGGAGGACCAAAGGCTCGGATCACTACTACTCTGGCTAGGGACCTGGGGTGGGGGGGTGGAGGCGCATGGATGGAGCTAGAGCAACAGCACAAGCAACGTGCTGCAGCCAACTCGATCTGTGCTACTGCGGGCGAACCGAGGCTCCGAAACAAAGGCCTGGATCACCGCTGCTCCTACTAGTGACCTGGGGTGGGTGGAGTCGGTGGCGGGAAAGGCAGGGGGGGGGGTGGAGCAGTTTGTTTAAATCGGTTTCACAAGCGAGCTTTAAGTCGGGTGCCTTTGAGTCGATATATGGCCAGCTTGAGGCTTCGTCACACGCTCACAAAAGAACTTTCTCAGTTAAATGCACAAAACCGTTTCTTTGCGCGAACTTGAGTGCAACAGACACCCGCTAAAGCCACTCCGTCACGTGTACTCGATATAAGCACGTCCTCAAACTCACTCGCTGAAGTGCTCGATGATGGGCGACTTGGTGATGCCATCCAGGCGAGAAAGCTCCCTAGATGTTGTCAGGTAATACTCCTGAGGAAAGAGTGACACGTGGCATGGAGGCATTGCATGGGATGAGGAGGTGTTGTAATGTCAAGGCAACAGGAAGGAAACACTGGCATCGCACGGAGGCACAAAGGCGACGGGCACATGCCTGCCAGGTGATGTTTAGTTTTGAGGCGCCTCAAATCAAAACTAGACTCCTATCAAAGGCGACGGGCACATGCCTGCCTGCCAGGTGATGCAGCGGGTGACGATGAAAATGGCAGTGACACGGGCACTATGCCTCCCCGGGACACTAGGCTTCCGCGGGACACTACGCCTGGGCTATGGTGCGCACCTGGTATGAGAAGAAGTAGGAAAGCGGCACGATGGCGAAGAGCACCGGCCATGTGATGAAGGAGGGGAGGTGACGGTGAGAATGGCGACAGAGTCAAGGAAGAGTGGTGCACTGATACCTGGTCTCATACACACTTAATGTCACATGCACCTGCTCTCACACAAACCTGATAGGAGAAGTAGAAGTACGCAAGCGGCACGATGGCGAAGAGCACCGGCCACGTGATAAGAGAGGTGACGGTGAGAATGCCGAGCAGCTGGAACACCAGCGACAGCACCGTGCCGAAGCGGAACGGGAGATCCAGATCGACCGTTGCCTGGTCCGTTGAGGCCTGCAGGCGGGACCATGGGTGGGAGGACAGAGGGACTAAGAAAGGTGGGTGGGTTCACGGAACTTAGACCTAGTGATGAAGCGTGTGTAATGAGTCTATTTTTTAGTCGACTCAAAAATAGACTCATTACACACGGATTATACACTGAGAGATTTTTTGTCGCATGGAAGGCTGGGCGTAACTTACAAAAGTTACTTGTTCGCGCGAGGCTCCCTGAGCACCAGCTGGCGAGATGTGGGTTACCCACGACACGTCCCGAGGAATGAAGACCTGGCACCTTGGAACTTTCCAGGGTGTTTTGGATTGGCTGACCAGATTTCAGCCGCGGTTGTTCCAACCTTGAAGTTGTTGTTTTCGTAGCGCAGTTTCTGTTTAAGAGCTCGCTTGTAAACTCACTTTTATAATTCCACCAGCACTGATGAAGGTCTGATTTGGGGCCTGTCCCAGTCAGCCGAAACTAGTTAGCGTTTTAATCTTCTAGTGGAGTTGAGTTTGGAACTTCAAAATCTCGATTTTTAAACAGGGGTATCAATTTACCTACTGTCACTCTTTTGCTAAATTTTTTCCTCTTCGCTGCTGCCCACCCTAACGCTTAATGGCTATGGGTTCACGGAACTTAGACCTAGTGATGAAGGACGAGGCGGTGAGGAGAATACCCAAGTGATCATGCCCAAGTCATCATGCCCAAGTCGTCATGCCCAAGTCATCATGCCCAAGTCATCATGCCCAAGTCATCATGACTGACTGGGAGAAGACAGCATGCAGCATGTGCGCAAACAGGGCCTGAGTCATCTCCCACCCCAAGACTTTTAAGTCAACTCAAAAGATGATGACTTTTAAGTCGACTCAAAAGTCGCTCGGAAGACAGACAGCATGCAGCATGTGCGCAAACAGGGCCTGAGTCGTCTCCCACCCCAAGACTTTGAGTCAACTCAAAAGATGATGACTTTTGAGTCGACTCAAAAGTCGCTCGGAAGACAGCATGTAGCATGTGCGCAAACAGGGCCTGAGTCATCTCCCACCCCAAGACTTTTGAGTCGACTCAAAAGATGACTTTTGAGTTGACTCAAAAGTCGCTCGGAAGACAGCACGCAGCATGTGCGCAAACAGGGCCTGAGTCATCTCCCACCCCGAGACTTTTGAGTCGACTCAAAAGATGACTTTTGAGTTGACTCAAAAGTCGCTCTGAAGACAGCATGCAGCATGTGCGCAAACAGGGCCTGAGCCATCTCCCACCCCATCCATGAAAGAGGACTGCTGTTGCACACCTGTTTACCACACTGCACACCTAATCACCCCACATTCACTTCAAGAGACGGCTGCTGGTGCACACATGATCACCCAACACGCCACATCTCAACGCGACACACTCACCCGGGAAAGCACCCTGCCAGCAGGAGTGGAGTCAAAGAATGCCATGGGCGCTCGGAACACAGCGTGCAGCATGTGGGCAAAGAGGGTCTGAGCCGTCTCCCACCCCATCCACGACACTGCTACTGTGCGCACGAGCACAAACAGCACACTCCCCAACGCTAGCAGCACGTACAGCCGCAGAAACCCAACGGGCGTGATGGATGGGGCCCCAAGGTTGATGGGGAAAGAAGAAGACGAGGCAGAGGAGGGGGGTAGGAAAGATGGGGAGGTGGCGGAGGAGGAGGAAGCGGAGGAGGCGAAGGAGGAGGAATGGTAAGAGGAGGAGGGGGCGGAGGTGGATGTGTACGTGGCAAGCCACCAATCGGAGCCGATTTGCAGCGTCTGCCAGAGGGTTTGCACCAATAGGAGGGCGGGGATGGGCCAGCAGCCAAGGGCGGCGGTGAGATACGCCCAGTACACTGCAAAGGCCACTCGGCCCGACGACCGCTCCTCGTCACTTATCAGCTGGCCGGTTCCCGCTTGCCCTATACTGCGCCTGCTACTGCCACCACCATTACCACCACCACTGCCACCGCTGCTGGTTCTGCCAGCCTTGTTCTTTCTGCAGCGGCTCCTGCGCTTTTCACTCCCTGACTCATTGCTTGCTCTGGCTCCCGCCTCATCTCTGCTGGTTTTCCTTCCGTTCCCAGACCCAGTGTGTTCGCCGGCCTGCAGCCCATTCTGATCGGCCCTCTGTCCGTCCACTGTCCTCCCGATGTCCACCATCTGTCTTCCCTCACGCGCTCTGTCGCCCTCCTCGTTGCTGCCATCATTCCGTGCCTCTTCCCCCTCCTCGCTTATCTCTCCCTCCTTCGGACCAACGACTCCTCCTTCCGCTGCCGCCTCTTGCTGCTTCCCTTTCCCTCGACCTGCAGCAGCAGAAGCAGCGGGCGAATCACCACTGGCAGCAGCAGGAGGAGATGCAGCAGCATTACCAGCAGCACCACCAGCAGCACCAGCAGCACCACCAGCAGCAGCAGCAAGCCCCAGAGAGCTTCTGAGGCGCTGCAGAAAGCTTGAGGGGGAGGAGAAGGATTGAGGGGTTAGACGGGAGGGTGAGGAGGAGGAGGGAGGGTTTTCAGCAGCATCTGAGGACGTGGTAGGGGGAGCAGTGGCAGACAGGGCTACAGTGCCCACAGCACCAGCTTTAGCAGCACCAGCGGCAGCAGTATTAGCCGCAGCAACGGCAGAAGCAGCACCACTAGTAGCAGTGACATCGCCAGCAGCCACACCAGCACCAGTAGCAGCAGCACCAGTGGCAGCAGCACCAGTGGCAGCAGAACCAGTGGCAGCAGCATTAGAGGCAGCATCACCAGCGCCAGTGGCAGCAAGAGAGTGCATAGCGTCGGTGTGAGCGTCCACTAGTGAGGAGAAGTCGGTTCCCTGTGCCAGCAGTTCGTCATAGCGCCCATGCTGCACTATGCGTCCCTCCCTCATCACCTGCGTGTGGGGGGGAAGAGGGGAAAAGAAAGGAGGCACCAGCGGCATCAGCATGCCATCATACACGGGAGGAGAAGTCGGTTCCCTGTGCCAGGAGATTGGCATACCGCCCACACCGCACTATGCGCCCCTCCCTCGTCACCTGCGAGTGTGAGGTTGGAGTGGGGCGAGAAGAGAGGGGGAGAGTGACTGCTTGAGCTCTCTACTGACTCCTGAGTCAATCAAAACACGAGGAAGCTTGCCATGCAAGTAACAGACTTTACTGAGTCGACCGGGTCAGCCAAGCCAACCAAGCTGACCGCATCAACAAGCTTAACGGAGTCAATCAAGTCAACCAAGCACGAGGTCCATACTTGGCGGTAAGTCCAGCTGATTATGTTGCAAGAATGTCAACAGAGTCAACCAAGTCAAACGGCCGTCAACAGACTCACCAGAATGAGGTCCATGGCTGGCAGGAAGTCCACCTGGTGCGTTACCTCACCAGGATGTATCGAACGAACAAAGTCAACAGAGTCGACAAAAATCAAACAAGTCAAATGGCAGCCACATGACTGACCAGAATGAGGTCCATGGCTGGCAGGAAGTCCACCTGGTGCGTCACCAGGATGACAGTCTTCCCAGCTAGGCCCCTCAGCACACACTCCTGCCAGGGGGGAGATTTGAGGAGAAATGGTGACAGGGAGGAGGGGGGGGAGGAGGGGGAGGGCGGGGAGACATTGCGGGGAGGTTATTGGGGTGACTTTTGAGTCGACTCAAAAAGGGCGATATTGAAGGGAGCTATTGGGGGTTGAGAGAAGTCTATAGTGGTGTCGTGGGAAATGAGGTAGAGTCGTAGATGGATTACAGGTGTGAAATCAGACTCACAGTGAAGAGCTGCGAGCCAGTGTGTGCATCCACGGCACTGAAGGGGTCATCCAGTAGAAACACGTCAGCACCCCCCTGACCCTCATCCGCACCCCCTTTCCCCTCCCCCCCATCCCCCTGCTCCTTTTCTTTTTGATCTGCTCCTCTGCTGCGCTCCCCTCCCCCACTTCCCCCTCCCCCAGATCCCCCTCCCCCTGCATACATCGCCCGGGCCAGCTGGATCCTCTGCTTCTGGCCCCCACTCAGGTTGACCCCCCTCTCGCCTATCTGTGTGGCATCCCCGTGCGCCAGCAGTGCCAGGTCCAGCTGTAGCGCGCACTGCTGCAGCACCCGGCTGTAGCGCGCCCGGTCAACGGGCTGCCCGAAAAGAATGTTGTCGCGCACAGTGGCGTTCTGGATCCATGCGGACTGGGGCACATAGGCTGTGCAGCCCACTAGGGCGACCTGAAAACGGGGAGGGGGGAACGGGAGTGGGAACAGGAGGGGGAACAGGAGGGGGAACAGGAGGGGGAACAGGAGGGGGAACAGGAGGGGGAACAGGAGGGGGAACAGGAGGGGGAACAGGAGGGGGAACAGGAGAGAGGGGGAGGGGGGAGGGGGGAAAGGGTGTGACCACAATGGCGTTCTGGATCCATGCGGACAGGGGGACGTAGGCCGTGCGGCCCACTAGGGTGACCTGCAGCAAGAAAGAGGGCAGGAAGGGAGAGAATGAGAGATGGTGATCAGGCCTCTCGCTAAGCCCCAGGGTATTCCGGAAGGGGACGGAATCGCCTCTGCATAACCCGTTAACAGGCGGAATCCCCCCAAAAAAAACCGTTGCAGAAAGGAATCGGCCTCTACGAATTCGGTTAGTAAGGAATCAAAGAGGGGGAGTGGGTGAGGGGGCGGGGGGTCGGGCATCGCTACCCCCTACTGACTGCCCTGCTGCAAGTATAGCCCGTACGGATTCAAAAAAAGTTACTCGTTAGGCTAAGAAACCGAGCGAAATTGTTTTCACATTGCACCGTAAAAAAACGGGATTGCACATTGCATGCACCGAGCGAAATTGTAAGTTGGATGGACTCGGGGAAAAATCGCACCGTAAAAAAACGGAATCTCTGGAAACGTTACTCTTAATTTCTCGACATTAAGGGTAATTACCCTTTTAGCAAGAGGCCTGATGGTGATGACGGCAGGGAGAAGGTAGTGCGGTTTGAAGGCCGTGCGACCCTCTAGGGTGACCCTCTCACATTGCCTCAGATCCGGGCATTTCCCCAAGCAGGCAAGCCACTAGTCTGATCTGAACTTGCCTGCCTCCACCGCTTTTGAGGCCTTCAAAAAGAGAAAACACACTGCTCACCTCGCCTCTGATCTTGGGCATCTCCCCAAGTAGGCATGACAGCAAGCTGGACTTGCCCGCCCCCACCGCCCCGCACACAGCCACTCTCATCCCCCTTTTAATCTCCAACTCGATTCCAGATAGCGTCGGCTTACTGGAATCCCCATCCCAGCTGAACACCCCACCCTGCACCCGCACCACCACGTCATCTGCTAAGCCAGTAGTACCAGCCAAGCCACCACCACCTGCCAAGCCAGTACCTGCCAAGCCAATACCAGCCAAGCCAGTACCAGCCAAGCCAGTACCAGCCAAGCCAGTGCCAGCCAAGCCAGTACCAGCCAAGCCGCCACCACCAGCCAAGCCATCCCAAGCCACGGTACCCCTCGTGCCGGAACATTCCACCTCCTCTCTCCCACTCCCTCTCTCCCTGCCCCCAGATTGAAGTACCCGCCCATTCTCCGACCCCTTCTTGTTCTCCTCCAATGGCGTCGCAACACCCCGTGTGTTTCCCGCCCCTCCCTCCTTCCCCTCTAGTCGCAGCACAGCATCAATCTGAATCTCCTCCTCCAACAGGAAAGAGGTAACCCGCTTGAGGGACACCAGGGCCTGTGCCATTGCCGCCACTACTGAGGGGAACGACCGCAGCGGCTCCTGCAGGGGATTGAGCGCAAGGCATGTGCGGCATGTGAGGCATGTGAGGCATGTGAGGCATGTGTGTGAGTGTGAGGTACGTGGTGTTTGAGGGGAATGGGATACGGGTCCTGACGTGACCCGCTTGAGCGACACCCAAGCCTGGGCCATCGACGCCACCACCGAGGGGAAGGACCGCAGCGGCTCCTGCAGGGGTTTCAGTACAGGGCATTTCGAATGTTGGAGTTTGGGGGGAATGGGGTGCGGGTTTCAGAGGACACGGAAGATGGTGACCCCCTTGACCAGCACCAAGGCCTGGGCCACCACAGAGCAGAGCAGAGGCTCCTGCAGGGGTTGAGGGAGCGAAGGGAGGGGAGTGGACTGTGAAAATATCGGGTGGTTCATTAGGCATGAGGTGGCAATACAAATAGCATCACCACATTCAATTTCAGTTGTCTCTCCATTTGGGATTGACGGAGCGCCTCGAGGGTGCGGAGCCGTGGCTCGGTGCTGGCCTCATGACATGGCAAGGTAGGGAGGAGTTTTCCAGGGTATCATTCGTTACTGTATTGGGAACCAATTCTGAAAACGGGCAGAAACACCCATTTGTATAGCAAATGACGTCCCCCGAGCCCCAATGTCTCTTGTCACATCTTGTAAATCATTCACTCAATCTGTCGCCCAGGATTACATTCAGACCTTTTAAGCGAGTTTTTTAATGACCTACACCCTGGGTATTTATGCCCTCCAATCGCACAACCCTTCCCGAATACTGCAGTATAATCTTAAAAGTGGCCAACGCAACTCCTCTCCTTCCTGCCAAAATCCACCCGCCCTTGAGTTCTCCTACGACCCCTTGGCTTGTTCAATGACTGGCAGCCAGCAAGTGCTCTCACAATAACTCCATAATGGAAGCTTGGTGTAGGAGAGTCCAGAGATTGTGAGAGCACTTGCTGGCTGCCAGTCAGTGAACAAGCCGAGGGCTCGCAGGAGAACTCAAGCGCGGGTGGATTTTGGCGGGAAGGAGGAGTTGCATTGGCCACTCTTGGGATTATACTGCAGTTCTCAGGAAAAGCTGTGCAATTGGAAGGCAGAAATACCCAAGGTGTAGATCACTAAAGAACTCGCTTAAAAGACCTAAACGTAATCATGTGCGACATATTGGATGAGTGCTTTACAAGATATGACAAGTGACATTAGGCTCAGGGGACGTCACTTTACTGTACAAATGGGTGTTGCTGCCTGCTTTCAGAATTGGTGCACAATACAGTACCGAATGATACCCTGGGAAACTCCTCCCTACCTCGCCATGTCACGAGGCCAGCACCGAGCCACGACTCCACACCCTCGAAGCTCTTCGTCAATCCCAAATGGAGAGACACCAGGTGTGAGTCACCATCGCAGTAAAAATAGCACTCCTCCTCCTCTTCCCTCTCTTTCCCATATGCTCGGTATGCTTGTTCGGAATGCTTGCTTGGTATACCTGCTTGGTATGCTTGGTATGCTCGGTATGCGCAGTATGCTTGCTTGGTACTCTTGGTATGCTCGGTATGCTTGCTTGGTATGCTTGGTATGCTCGGTATCCTTGCTTGGTACTCATGTTATGCTTGGTATGCTAGCTTGGTATGCTTGGTATGCTCGGTATGCTTGCTTAGTACGCTTGGTATGCTTGCTTGGTACGCTTGACATGCTCGGTACGCTTGATATGCTCGGTATGCCTGCTTGGTACGCTTGGTATGCTTGGTATGCTTGCTTGGTACGCTTGGTATGCTCGGTATGCTTGCGGTACGTTTGGCACGCTCGGTATGCTTGCTTGGTACGCTTGGCATGCTCTCTATGCTTGCTTGGTACGCTTGGTATGCTCGGCGTCCAGCTATGGGTGGCTGGCGTCCAGCTATGGGTGGCTGGCGTCCAGCTATGGGTGTCTGGCGTCCAGCTATGGGTGGCTGGCATCCAGCTACGGGTGGCTGGCGTCCCCCTTTCATCGACCGCCTTCGCTCCCCTCCTCTCCTTTCCTCTCCCCCCCTTTCCCCCCCTCACCTGCAGGATTCCGAATGTGGCAATGGAAGTAATGAGAAGACAGCTCCAGGGGTGAGCAGCCCGCCCACAACCACCAAGGCAGTGGGACGAGCACTCCTGCCACCCCTCCCCCTTCACTCACCCCACCCCCCTCCCCCCTTTCCTCTCCCCTCCTTTCAACCCCTCACCTGCAGGATTTGGAAGGTGGCTATGGCAGTGAAGAGAGCCCCAGGGGTGAGTGGCACACCCACTGCCACCACCTCCCGCTTTCATTCACCTCCTCCCCCCCCAACCCCTCCCTTCCCCTCCCCTTTCACCTCCTCACCTGCAGAATGCGGAATGTGGCAATGGCAGTGAAGACAGCCCCAGGCGTGAGCGGCACGCCCACTGCCACCATGGCGCCAAACGTGCCCACCGACACGGCTAGAGGCGACAGCCACAGCAGAAAGATGTTCGTCGCACCTATCGCCATGTACCTGGGGGTGGGGGGAAATGTGTCAGACAGCATTGACAACCCATGCTGCAGAATGTCGGCACTTCAGAGAGTAAGACGGAGATTCGATTCAGGATGAGAGACCTTCACCCAAGGATTAGCGAGCCAGACAGAGATTAGAAGAGCTTTTTAGAATTCTCAAAAACACCCGCCGCGGACCCAAGGTTAGACAAGGCAGAGAGGAGGGGAGGAGAGGAGGAGAGCGGGAGGGCGGGAGACACAAGCGAGCGAGAAAACCATTCCCGAACACCACAACAGCAACACGAGACGGCGAACCAACCCACTCCTCATACCCGCCGAGCCAGCCGGCATCGGAGTGTGCTTCTGTGTCGTTCAAAATAAAAAACAGCCAGCCACAGCAAAGCGACTCCCATTTCCCACAACAGCATCAAAACAGCGAGCGAACCCAAACCAGCACACTCCTCGTACCTGCCGAGCCAGCCGGCCTCGGAATCTCGCAGCGATTTGATTTGATTCTCGAAGAAGGTCTGCCAGGCGTAGAGCTTGATGACCCGCATGGCAGAGAGCGCCTCCGAGGTGGCCTTCATGCGCCGATCCTTGGCTTTAAGGATCTGCGCCACTGCGGCACGGAGAGAGGCTGCGATGAGGAGGTTGAAAACCATGGCTGCCAGCATCACCGCCAGTCCCGCCAGCATGCAGACACCCACCACCTGCAGTGACAAAAGGGTGGGGGGAGGGGAGGAGAGGAGGAAGGAATAAAGAAAAGAGCCTCTGAGGTGGCCTTCATGCGCCGGTCCTTGGCTTTAAGGATCTGAGGCACTGTGGCGCGCAGGGCCGAGGCGATGAGGAGATTGAACAGCATGGCTGCCAGCATCACCGCCAGCCCTTCCAGCATGCAGACAGACACCCACCACCTGGAGTGAGAGGGGAGAGGGGAGGAGAGGAGATGAGAGATCATGTGTCTGCCAAGCATACAGGAGAGCACCCTGTCCACGGAGCGCTAGTATGGGCTGGAGAGCGCCCGTGTCGTTGGGCACAGAGCTAGATGATCCGCATGGAGGAGAGCGCCTCAGAGGTGGCCTCAGAGGTGGCCTCAGAGGTGGCCTCAGAGGTGGCCTCAGAGGTGGCCTCAGAGGTGGCCTCAGAGGAGCGCCGGAACTTGGCCTTGAGGATCTGCGCCACTGCGGCACGGAGGCGAGTAGAGAGGCTTGTGAAGGGATGGTTGGCAGTGATAGCTAGTGGCTACTGCCAGGCGTAGATCTTGATGACTCGCATCGAGGAGAGGAGAGGAGAGCGCCTCAGAGGTGGCCTTCATGCGCCAGACCTTGGCTTATGTTGTCCTTGGTGCCCATCTCACCTTGAAGAGGATGACGAGCGCAATGGCGATCTGCAGCGGCAGCACCCACACGTTGTGCAGCTGTAGCATGAGGTCCGCCAGGCGCTGCACGTCTGTTGACATGTAGTTCACCACCTCGCCCACCGTGTGCCGCTGCTTCGCCCTGCTCGATAGACGTAGGCCTTTATGGTAGAGAGCTCCAACCAGTGCTGCTCGGATGTCCAGGCCTAGGGACTGTGGGGAGAAGACAGAAAAGAGGGAGAGAAGGGAGAAACCTTCCAGGCCGAGAATCAGCCAGGCGCTGCACGTCCGTGGACATTTACTTCACCACCTCGCCCACCGTGTGACGCTGCTTTGCCCCGCTTGACAGCCTCAGGCCTTTGTGGTAGAGGGCACCTACGAGTGCTGCTCGGATGTCCAGGCCTAGGGACTGTGGGGTGAAGACAGAGGAGAGGGAGAGAGGGGAGGGACAAAACCTGCAATGTTCAAATCAAACCAAGTGTCCGCCAGGCGCTGCACGTCTGTTGACATGTAGTTGACCACCTCGCCTACCGTGTGCCGCTGCCTCGCCTGGCTCGATAGACGTAGGCCTTTGTGATACAGGGCTCCAACCCTAGGGACTGTGTGGGGAGAAGACAGAGGGGAGGGAGATAGAACCAGCTGAACTCAAGAGTCCGCACCTAGGCTGTATTCGGTGTTCTTTTGAGTCGACTCAAAAGCAGCTGTGTTAGGCTTTTGAGAATTCTAAAAAACCTAACCAAGTCTAGGGTGTGTGTGGAGAGGACAGAGGAGATGGAGATACAACCAAGTGAGATAGAACCAGCTGAAATCAAGAGTTCGCAGCAACTGTTTGCACACATGAGTCTCCTGCACCTCCTGCTCAGGGCAACAGCAAATCAGTGCACAACAGCACATCAGTGCACAACAGCACATCAGCACATCAGTGCACATGTACCTGAACATCTCGGCCAGCCACCATGTGCTGCTGCTGCTGCTGCTGCTGCTGCTTCGCCCTGCTGGGCAGTGCAGTCGCAGGCCGTCCATTCAACTCTCAGATCACTGCTTCCGAACGAGCCCCAACCAATGTGATTTTTTAGAATTCTCAGAAACCACCTTCCTTTCAACTCTCAGATCACTGCTTCCGAACGAGCCCCCCCCCACCAATGAGTGGCTGCAAAACCACAAACCTCAACTGGGCTGGAAGTTTGTACTGGCGCCCCACAGCCGTCTCGATGGCCTTGGCCAGCAGAACCACTGCCACCAGCACCAAACCCTCCCCCTCAAAGTTTGAGACTCAAACTGTCTTTTCCCCGCAGCTAAGTCCAGGAATCTGGACAGCAGCAGCGGGCCCGCGTACATGACGGCCGCCTTGAGCAGGATGAGCAGCCCCGTGCCGAGCAGATAGTTTCCAACCACCGTACGAGAACCCCAAACCCCCATTTGGGCCAGAAAACAACAACCCCCACCTGTGCTTGAAAGTTGTACTGGTGCCCTACTGGCGTCTCTGTGGCGTTGGCCAGCAGCAGCACCGCCACGAGCACCAGACCCTCCTTTTCAAACCGCCCATTGCCCGCAGCGAGGTCCAGGAATCTAGACAGCAGCAGCGGGCCCGCGTACATGACTGCCGCCTTGAGCAGGATGAGAACGCCTGTGACGAGCAGAGAGCTTCCGACCACCACATATACAGGCACCCCCACTTCTTACCTGCTTACAGGCTTACAAACAACTCTTACCTGGGCTTGAAAGTTGTACTGGTGCCCCACAGCCGTCTCTGTCGCTTTAGCCAGCAGCAGCACCACCACGAGCACCAGACCCTCCCCTTCAAACTGTCCTTTCCCCGCAGCGAGGTCCACGAATCTAGACAGAAGCAGGGGGCCGGCATACATGACTGCCGCCTTGAGCAGGATGAGCAGGCCCGTGAAGAGCAGGGGACGCCAGAAGCAGGCGAGCAGCGCTTGGGCCACTGAGGGCTTCGTAGGGGCGGTGAAGCGGGAGAGCATGGCAGGGGACTGTTGCTGCTGCTGCTGCTGCTGCAGTTGCGGTTGCTCGTGCCCCTGCTGCTGGTGATGGGTGGCTAACAGCGGAGTCGTCACGGTAGCCTCAGCACTACCAGCAGCAGCACCAGCAGAAATGCTACCAGCGGCAGCATTACTACCAGCAGCAGCAGCAGCAGCAGCAGCAGCAGTAGTACCCCCAGCAGCCAGAGCGAGCTGCGTCTGCCAGCAGGCATCAAAGGCACGGAACATGGCATCGCAGCCATGAGAAGGTGGCCGGCACGGCACGTCCTGTAGTGAGATCAGATGCTGCTTCTGATCTCTTGGGACCTCCTCCTTCTCCTCCTGCCACTGCTCCTGCTCCTGCTGCTGCTGTTGCTGCTGAAGCTGCAGATTCTGGTTGCCTGTGTCCAGAAGAGGAGATATCCAGGAAAACGAGAGACGAGACAGCCAGCTTGCAGTGGCGTACGGAGACACAGCGGCCACCACCACTGCCTGCTGCTGCTGCCCCTGCTGCTGCCCCAGCTGCGATTGATGCATATTCCTGACTCCCAGTTCGCTATCCGGTTTCAATTCCTCCCCGCCATCCTCACTAGTATCAGACTCGTTGTCCTCATCAGAGTCGCTTTCATCTCCGATTGTAAGGCAAGCTCTCCCCTTCACAACCGGCCTACTCCTCAAACCCTCCTCAAAACCACCCTCGCCCTCCTCCTGCTGCTCCTCCTCCCCATCACCCTCGCCCTCCTCTTCCCTCCCTTCGCCTCCTCTCTCTCCTCCTCTCGCTCCCATCCCTCGGTCCAGACGAGCCCAACCAGGCCTGCCGAGCACTCCAACCACCCCCAAGAAAACAGCCAATGGCAAGCTGCCAAGTGTCAGGAAATCGCTCCACGCGGTCACCCTCTCCTCGTTCCAATCTCGAATTCCAGACCCCAAACCACCTCCCGAACCAAATCCCAAACCAGCTCCCAAACCAGATCCAACGCCAGATCCCTCCCCCAAGCCCCTCCCTTGGCCTTTGCTCCAGAGCCGGAGCAGAATGACCATAGAGAGCATCAGCACAAGCACAGCGTTCAAGAACAGCCACACCCGCGCCGACCCCACCACTGTAGCGTCCCGCCTCCTCTCGAACAGCAGCAGCACGCCTGCCGCCAGCGCATACGTGACGGCCTGCCCTGCCGCGTATGCTAGCTCGTGGGGCGGTGCCAAATTGTGGGGAGGTGCTGGATGCGTCCGGAAGCCAGGTAAAATCTCCCACAGGAGAAGCCCTGTCCAGCAGGCAGCTGCAATGATAGAGAGGACGAGCTCAGGCCAGAATAACAGTCCTGCACGCCACTCCTCCCCTCCCTTCTGCTCCCTTCCCCCACAACTTTCCTGCACTCCCCTCTCTCCCCTCCCCCCCGTACCTGCTGACCTCTCCGTACCATTCTGGGCTCTACGGGGCTGGGAGTCAGGCTTGGAACTAGGTTCGGGATTAGGTTTGGGAAGGATCAGAATGTGGGAGAGGGTTGCGAGGAGGAGGAAGGAGGAGAGGAAGAGGAAGGAGGCGTGCTGGAGGCACGGGGAGAGGGAGAAGATGTGGATCCACTTGGGCAGAAACCTTTCCTCTCCTGCCCGTTGGAAAAAAGCTGAGACTTGCTCAAGGGAGCTCCAGGGGAGGGGAGAGGACAGGTGGAGGTGCGAGGGAAAAGTATCCGGGAGAAACGGATGGAGCTGATGGTGCTGATGTGGCATCAGGAGGTGGTGCCACGTGGAATTGGTGAACGCAGGTGGGGATACAGGCGACGGGAAGCGATAAATGGAGGAAGAGGAGGAAGAGAACGAAGAGGAGGAGGAATTTGGGAAGTGGTTAGCTTGAGAGGGTGCAAGACCCGATGGTGATTCTGATGATGTCATGCGAGACTGTGTGACATCATGCAATCGACTGAGTGGCTGGTTGTGACTGAAGAGGAGGTTTCCGCTAATACAGGCTGGACTGTATGGGTCGTTGGGGCCGCAAAAGGCGGCCCAAAAAGCTGCAAAACGAAGGACAGTTCAAAGTATGGGGGGAAAGGATGGGGGGGGAAGGACGAGGGGAAAGGATGGGGGAAAAGGATGGGGAAGGAAGGAAGGGGGGGGTGAGAAAATGGGGACTGGGGGTTCTGTTCCAGGAAGGGGGTGGGAAGGGTAGCGCGGGGAGTTGACTGACGGGGGTATTTGTGTGACAATGAAGTTCAGACCTCCTGCATGATGCCTGTCAAACCATCGTCATACCAAAATCATACGCCTGGGATTGCACATGCACAACTGATCCAAAAACATATCGGTGGAATGGTAAGAAAAGAATCTCACATTCATTTGCGGTCCAGCCAGGGCCAGTGGCCATGGAGAAGACAAGAGAGGTGACAAGGATGTGAGCACCGACCAGGATGTTTTTTCCAGCAGCAGCAGCAGCAGCAGCAGCAGGTGCGATTGCCATCTGGAGGAGGGTTTTATGACAGGACATTAGTCTCGACAAATTGAGGCTTCGAATCTCTTTAGTTGCAACTGTTGAAACGCACAAACAAATCTGAGTATCTCACCTTATGAAACAATTATCCGGGTATGGCGCTTTAATTTCAATAGATTCCTAACTATCTCTCCTGTAATATATCTTGTATGCTTCTGAATGAACCAGTGTGAAGGAATCTAGCACGGAAGAGAGTCAGTCCTCAGTTCTATTACAGAATTCAATCAGCTACCTTAAGACCATGCCTAATAGAGCAGCCCGCGGGTCGCTTACTGATCACTAAAATTAGGCTGACTCACAAATCTGCAGCCCAAGAACGTCCAAGGACGTACAAAAAGCACTCAAACTGGACTGGTCACAGATGTAAAGAAGACGTGCTTTGACATAAAGCGCTCAAACTGGATCTCCGTCTCTCGATCCTACCAGCTCTAACGCCTGGCATTCCACGGTGGCGTTAACCTACGACAGTGCTAAGCTAGCCCTATTGTGCCTCCTGTCCGTCCAACCATGGCTTCTTGGTTCAGGAAAGCCCATGGACTGTCAGTCACTGATGAAATCTCGGTGGAGGTTGAAGCTAGCATTTTTTTTCCGCGCGTGTTCTGTGCCAGAATGCGCTGGCTCAGGCGATGAACCACATTTTGCGACGCTCACGTCACGAAGCTAGCGAGCTTCGTGCTGAGAAAGAGCGCCCACGCGATTTTCGAGAACCATAGTAACCTGGAAAAATTGGTCACATATTGATTTCGCGGCTGGCTGTTCTCGTCAATGTTTGTGGCTCACGCTGAGTGGCTCCTTCAGCGTTGGAGAGGCTCAATCACTGATCGACACGCTGGCATACTTAACGTGGCGTTGTTTGGTCTGGGTGCGGCCGTAGGTTGGCGCGGTGTCTGGATGTGGGGTGTGGTTGAGGTGGGTGTGGGGACCGCACTGTACCTCTGTTGAGTGGAGACAAGCCAAAGTTCTCTTTAGATTGCTACACTCCTTGAGTCAAAACAACAAATTATTAGAGGGTACCTATAATTTGGACTATGAACCCTAAAATTATCATTTGTGTGGCACTTGCCTAGCAAGGCAGTCAAACTGGAACCCCTGTCTTCCCAATCCACGAGTTCAGCGAGAGGAAGTTATTCGGGGAGTACTTGCTGACTTGTGATAATGAAGAAACCACGCCAGGTCGCGCCCACGACACCCTGGATGACTGGACACCAGCTCCCTTGCTTCCATACTCCGCTAAGAAGGGCTTCCCACCGAATGTCTCATCGACCTTCCAGGGCATCCACCCGTTCTTGTTTACCTTCTGCAAAATCAAACAAAAAATGTGAGGGATGGCAAGAGAGACTGATTTTGGTCGAAGACATTGGGAAGGGGCAGAGGGGAGAGGTCAAGAGCAGGTCAAAGTCAAAATCACTGAAGAGCAGAACAGCAGTAGCAAGCAAGGTCCCACTCACCGTCGGCAGCACAGTGTTGATAAAGACCATGGCAGCATAGTCCTTCCACGGCCGGCCCAGGTACACATCGCCATAGTCACCATTCACTTTACTGTCAACCACCACAATCCCACACAGCGCCCCGGACTGGTAACACCCAGAGGCCAGAACCGTTGTCGTCCAAGTCGGCGATTTAAGCACATTGAGTGTAGATGACTGCACCACCGCAGCTCCGTAACCAAAAACGAAGTCCACCGTGCCCTCAATAATGCAGTTTTTTATGTAGTGACGGCCCGTGGAGCAGAAGAGTGTATCTTGGTAACCAGTAACCTTGACCTGGTACAGTGCAGCCTGGTCAGAATCCAAGCGCAGGGCCACGGCTTGGAGCCCCGAGGGGCCAGCAGTGTTGCGAATGGTCATGTACATTGCGACGAAATTGTTACCATTCACGCCTGTGTGGGGTTACAGGGGGGGAAACGCGAGATTTGGAGCCTGTGAGTGAGTAGAGCCACGGATCAGGAGAGGACGGAAGTAGGAAGCGTGAGAGTGAAGAGCAGGGGAGAGAAGGCAATAGAGGGAAGCGCCTAGTTGAAAATGACAAGATTGGTAAGTGAAAGAGCAAGTGTTGCTGGCTTTTAGTGTTGCTGGTTCGAGTACTCACCGATAGTAGCTGATGTGATGATGTCGTAGCCTGATGAGTAGCTGGCGGATCCAGTAACAATCGTCTTGTCAATGCCATCCCCGAGAAGCGTGATCCCCTTCTTGTATATAGTCACCATTTCGTTGTACACTCCCGCCTTGATATAAATCACGGTATTGTCCGGCACCGAGTTGATAGCATCCTGAATCTTCTTAAAATCGCCGCTGCCATCCAGAGCGACCGTCTTATCCGCCTTAGTAGACGCCGCTCGGACTGCTCTGTACCCGGTACTAGGCGCGCGAATAGGCGCCTTCACGGGACTCTTAGCGGGGCTCTTGGCAGGGCTCTTAGCGGGGCTCTTAGCGGGGCTCTTGGCGGGACTTTTAGCGGGGCTCTTAGGCGGGCTCTTAGTGGTGGTTTGACTGGCCTGGGCATTGCCGCTCTTGATCGTCCCGGACGTCTGCTTGCTTGGGCTGGAGTGTCCGCCCTTTCCTGCCGAGTGGTGCCCCTTATTCGGTTCATACCTCCCCACGTTCTTCCCTCCCTTACCGCCCACTCCCGGGGGGTGGTGGCCCACCGGCCTCCCTTTCACGTCAACCTTCGCTTTCGGCGTCGGCTTGTCTGATTTTCCCCCGTTATTGGAACTCGTGAGCTGGGCTTGGAACACCTCGGCAAGCGATTGGTGCTGGTCGACGGCGTCGCTACGTGGCTGGTTCAGATTGGTCGAGAGGGCAGCGGCGAAGGCGCGCTCGACTCGTAAGTTTTTAAGCTCTGCCAGAACGGCTCTGACCGTCTGAAGACCGTCCGCCAAGGCGACGGCGGCCGTCTGGAGTTGACGGACCGTCTTGTCGCTGACGGTTTGAAAATTCGCCTGCAAGGCAATCTCGAGGTAGTTCGCGCTCGTCTGCGCAAATCCGACGGCTGCGATCGCTTCGTTGAGCTCCTTGCGGTCGAGATTGTCCGGGCCCCCTCGCACGGCGTCGGCGAGATTGGTGGCGGCAGAATCGAGGTTCTTCACGATGAGAGACGCCTGAGGAGGGAGGGAGGGGAGACGGAAGAGACGGAAGGAAGCCGACGAAGGAAAAATATAAACAACAAGTATCAGCCCCAGTAGTACTATGTCCTGAGCGTGAGTCAGCAGCTGCTTCAGAACACACACAAGAACTCAACATCTCTCCAGTCCGCCCAAAATTCGATGAGTTAATGGGTTCAAACCGTACCTCCGTCAAAACCCCACGAAAGGCGATGGTATCTCTGTCCCCATACTTGACGGCAAAAATCTGGTCGCTCAGCGCCGACGCCTTGCCTGCCACGTCCGCTAGCAGCTCGACTGCCGCTGTCGTCGGGCTTGTAGCGAGGCTCCTTCTATCGGGGCGCGAGGCTGCTTGTAGCGGGGATCGATCGGCGAAGGAAGGTCTTCTGGCCTCCCTGACTCTGGCGAGGCCTTGCGCCGAGAGGCCAATAGCGAGGATGGACGGAAGGATGGTTGATAGTAAAGCCAGAAGCAGGATCAGTGACCTGAGTTGTTGAACCCGCGACGCCATTTCAGGAGTAGGGAAAGAGCCGGAAGGGGAATTGTGACTTTTGAGTCGAGTCAAAAGTCACCTCGGAAGGGGAATTGTCGGAATACGGTACGGCGGACGACGCGTATGCTTCACCCTGTCAGTCCAAATGTTCCCCAGGCGTCTCGATTGTTGAAATTTAAGATCGTCTAAACCTGGCCATAGTCAGAAGGACGAGAGTTTGGCGTGAATCAGGTAAGACTTAGGTGGAAAGGGCCCGGTTCGTTGGAGCAAACTGGTCTTGGCTCGGGGAGCAGGAGCAGACACGAGTTCGAGTGGCTCCTGTGACCAATCGAGAACCGACCTGCTACTACGACGTTCGCGTTAACAAGACAGCAATGCAAGAAACCGTCCAGAAGGAATGCAGAAATTTCAGCCTCCGCCTTTGCATTTGACGTTGGCCGCATCTCACGGCAGCCTTGGGATTAGCAGCACCTACGGCGCCAAGGGCAAGGCCAGAAGCGCAGCTCTTTTGGCACACTCGGAAGAGGAGTATTTTCTCCGGGAACTGCGGCCGGGAGACTCGAAGGCGGACCTTGGGGGGTGATGGGAAATGGCGCCGACATGGTCACGATGAAACGAATGTGGGAAGTTGGAGCGTAGGGAATTCCGAACCGTGACGGGACGGAACGAAAAGGGCTAACAGTGACCTGACCAATCAGAAGTATGGATTGCTTTCAATGGATGGTTGGATCTCAACAAAGGTGATTGAGTGGACGGTCAGATGGAGTGCTGGTTGGGGTGGGGGTTTGAAGGCTGTTTGGGTGGTGCGGACGTGATTGGGGACAAGCGGCCCGCACGAGATTGGTTGGCGATTTGACGTTTGTGGAAATTGCGGTTCGTTCGGAAGCAGGCGGGAAGATCATCCGTTGATTGTCCCACACGCCAAGGCCCGATCAATCGAGGCTTGAAACTCACGGAAACGGACATCCGCGCATTCATACATAGTTCCGTTACAGGAAGCTCCGTTTCTATTTCAGAGGACCGCATACTAGAGGCCATGATACTTTCGCATGCATACATAGTTTTTTATTTTACATTGGACAACTAGGACCACAGAATCTGAGTTTCCATCACTCACAGAGAGCCACGTCACACAATGACGCAAGCGCCCCTCACGCCAAGCTGGAAGCTCCTCTGCCCAGCAACAGGATGTAAGCACTGGATTGGCTGACCAGCACTGATCGAATCAGACACTCTCGAGTCCAGGCTCCTCGGAATTGGTTCATGTTCACTGCCCACTTGCCGCACTCAGCCAATCGCAAACCGCTAAAGTGTGCTCCAACTTTTTGACAGAGGGATTGACGGAGTTTAGTGCAGTTCAGACAGGAAGGAAGAGACCATCCAGAGAAGTTAGTATACCCAACAGGAGGAGATTAACTCTGACATTGTAACTCGAGACCAGCACAGCCACTCTCACTGGAATTAGGGTGTCTGCTTGTTGGAACAAGCATTCTACAATACACCCAAATCCAAGGCCAGTCGAATAGTTTCTTCTTGTTACGTGCAGTTCACTCAGTTCGTACTGGCTACACTTCCGCGATTCAAAAGTCGGGATCCATTTGACGAAACATCTACGCATTCCTTCAGCTTACCTGGCTAGCACCGCGAGAAATCAGACAGCGAGCTTGTCTAAAAAAAAACGATCCGTCGACATTCGGCCCAGACGTCCGTCAACATGCAAGTGTCACCTCCACAGCTGCTAATGCACGCCCCGCATTCTGCGGCCGTCGACCGCATGTGCTCGCGAATCCGTTCCAGATTCACAGGAGGCATTCCCGTAGCGCCAGGAGCAGGGCATGCTGTAGTAAGCGCAGCCGCCGGGAACGCATCGGTTGGAAACGCAGCAGGAGACAGATTAGCAGGAGGAGCAGGAAGAGCAGGAGGAGCAGGAGGAGCGTTGAATGGCCGGCCAGCTCCCGCGCGGTTGCTAGTGGAGTGTGGGCGGGGTAGGTCGTCGCATCACGACAGGGACAGAGGCGGGAATAGAGAGAGAGGCGGGAATGGGGACTCAGGGAGGGGCGGGTATGGCGACAAGAGGAAGAGCGGACCTCTAGGTGCGGGTGGCGATAAGGCTGACGTGGCACAGCACCCGTACGCAATAAAGATAACCACTCCGCCAGCTAGAGAGTTGGGGATCCATTGCCTGCCTCAGGTGAGTTTGTAACGAGGATAGCTCGGAGGTTGGACGTGAGAGAAGAGACAAACACCTGAGTTTTCGTCAACTTTCAAGGGTTAGTCCTCTTGTCCTGTCCTCTCTATAATTTGTAATGCACATACTGCGTTCGATCAACAGGAAGAGGCGAGACGTTTCAGTGTTGTGCCCACTCTCTCCCAGTCTACCTCACCCACCCATCCTCCTCCATCCCCACCCATGCCCACCCATGCCCACCCATGCCCACCCATGCCCACCCATGCCCTCCCATGCCCACCCATGCCCACCCATGCCCACCCATGCCCACCCATGCCCTCCCATGCCCACCCATGCCCACCCATGCCCTCCCATGCCCACCCATGCCCTCCCATGCCCACCCATGCCCTTCTTTCCTTGGCTAGTCTCGCTCCCCTCCCCGACCATCCATTCTTCAAACCTGCTCACATTATCCTTCAAAACACGCAGTGTGGACAGTGCAATGAGTGCTGAAAATGCTAAACCCGCATCCCCTCCCTTCCCCCTCCCCTTCCCACCCCCCTCCCCCCGTTTCCCCGTGCATTCAGTACGCCAGAACACTCAACGCGGAGAAACTTTCGAGATCGAGGGCGAGGGGGTACTTGGTATGGGAGTAACGTCCCCACTTTTGAGTCGACTCAAAAGTCACCTCAAAATATGCTCTCGCTCCGCCTCTCCCGTCAAATGCTCCTCTTCTCTCTCCAGAACACTCAATGCGGCGAAACTGTGGAGATCAAGGGCGAGAGCTCTCTTCTTCCCCACCCCATTCATCATACCTGTTTCCCTCAGCGTTTCATACCTTTTTCCCATTCATCTATTTTTCCCCATGGTTCTCCCCTGTTCTCTCCAGAACACGCAATGCGGCGAGACAGTGGAGATTGAGGGTGAAAGCTACGTGGTGTTGGGGGTGACGTACCGGTACAGGCTGCAGAAAGGCAAGTATACAGCCAGGGAGCGACAGCTGGAGGTGCAATCCCGAGGCAGGTTCCTTGTTAATATGTACCTCGCCGACATGCTGGACAAGTCTTGAAACCAGTCGGTTTTTTAGGCGGGTTCCTGGACAGCTCGAAAGATGGCAGGGCAGGTCCGTGACAAGGGGGTTGACAGTTGGAGAAACAGTATTGAGGCGGACATCTGGTTAACCTCTGCACTATTGACATGCTGGACAGGTCGTAAGGTGCCAGGGCTTGTATCGCTGAGTGCCAGGCTGCAAAAAGGGCGGGTGTACATTTGTGTTGGGCTGAGAAAAGCCCTTAGGATCTTTTGCAGAGACTAAGTCCCAGCTGTAGAGACTTGAGACTTGGAGTAGTGCAGCGGAAGTTGAGGCAGTTGAACCCTTGTACTAGTATGTGAGAACAAGTGATTGATTAAAGAAACAAGCATACAGCAATATATAGTAGATAAGAAAGCAGTTGTAGAATACAGTTACAGGAACGGTTTATCGAGTCGCACAGCGACTCGATTGCCGCTTCGGTTACCATCCGTGATGTTGTAACGGTCAGTCGCAACCTCCAGTTGCGACCTTTCGAGTCCTTTCGCATTCTTTGTCCGCCCCCTCGTGTAACCTCCGTTGACTCGCGTGCTCCCCTGTAATCTTCCTCGAGTACAGTGTTACACTTCAGAAACGCTTAAGTCCTTGAGATATTTCCAACACTCCCCTTCGTTTCTGGAGTGCTGGAGTGTTCAGATCCGGTGGCGTTTGTTTGCCCGGTTAGGAGCATGCAGTAGTCGAATTTTGCTTTCGCCAATTTCTTCGTCAGATAATCTGCGGCCATTTCTGTCGTCGGGCAGTAACTGAGTTGAAGTCTCCCCTTCACGATTTCATCCTTGACGAAGAAGTACCGCAGGGCGATGTGCTTGGTTCGATTGGCGAAGCCGTCCTTGTTCGCGATTTTGATCGCAGATTGGTTGTCGCAGAGGAGTGAGAAGGCGGGCAGGGTCGCGATCTTCGCTTCTTCGAGTAACTCTCGTAGGTAGAGTCCTTCCTTGGTCGCAGTACAAAGGGCGATATACTCTGCTTCAGCCGAGGATAGTGCGATTAACTCCTGCTTGCTCGACTGCCAGGAGATAGTTCCGATAGGTTCTAGTCGGTAGATGTAGCCCGTCCTAGACCGTCGATTTTCGCTGTCTCCCGCGTGGTCGGCGTCGACGTATCCGAGTAGTCGTACGGACGGTGTTGTTGCCTTGCTGTAGGTAAGCCCGATCGTCGGCGTGGAGACGAAGTAGAGTAGCGCTCGATTGAGTTCTTCGAGATCTTCCTGTTGCGGATGCTTCAGATGTGTCGCCAGCTGACTCGCACTATAGGATAGGTCGGGTCGGCAGGTTACTGCTGCGAATAGTAGGCAGCCGAGCTTCTGTTGATACTCCTGGATTTGTTTCGCGGGGAGTTTTGTAGAGGCGCTGCCGTTGTTCCCGTAGCGGTAGGGAGTTGGGACCGCAGTCGGTGTTAGAGCGAATTTCTTCGCGACGGTGCTTGAGTACTTTCCAGCGTGTAGGTAGAACGCCGTGTCGTCTTCGACGACGTTCAGTCCTAGGTACTGCGTAACTTCGTCGGACACCGTGAGAGTTAAATCTTCTTTCAGCTCCCCTTCGAACCAGGTGGCGATGTCGGTAGTTGAGCCGATGTAGAGCAGGTCGTCGACGTAGACGATGAGCAGAACATACTCTCTTCCCTTCTGCAGTCGGTACATCCCTTGGTCATGCGGCAGCTGTAGGAAGCCGATTTTTACGAGACGGCTGTGAAGATGCTGCTGCCAGAGCCGCGGGGCTTGCTTGATCCCGTATAGGGATTTTGTCAGTCGGCATATTTTCGTGGGGTCGTCGATGAATCCGTGGGGTTGTTCGACGAAGATCTCAGCGTCCACAGGTGCGTATAGGAACGCATTCGCGACATCGATTTGGCGTAGTGGTAGTGTTTTTGTGGCCGCGACGGCGAGTAGGATGCGTAATGAGGTGTGACGGGAGACTGGGGCGAAGGTTTCTGTGTAGTCGGTTCCGTATCGTTGATCGAAGCCTCGTACGACCCATCGAGCTTTGAATCGTTCGATGGAGCCGTCTGAGTTGGTCTTGATGCGGTACACCCATTTCCCCGAGAGAACGTTCTTCCCGTTGATGCTCGTTGCAGGTACCAGTTTCCATGTTTCTCGGTCTTGCAGAGCTTTTAACTCCTTTTCCATCGCTTCTTTCCATTTTGCCTTATGTTCCCCCCCCAGAGCCTGCGACAAGGTTGAAGGCTCACGCGTAGAAGGCGGCGGCGGATGCTGGACGGAGACCCAGAGGCCTAGAATCTGGAGTCCCGTGGGTGTGTGTCGAGGGGAATTGTCATTCCCCGAATAAGCTGCTTCGTCACCGTCTTCGGGGTCAGGTAAGAAATTGGGGCCGATGCGTTCCGAAATATTCGTGTCGACGGGGTGCGGTGTAGCGTAACCTTGGTCGGCGAAGTGGTAAAAGGTGTCGAGGTTGTTGCTATCGAGGGGATTATCTTCATCGAGTGGAACAGGTATGGAACAGAATGGGAGTGGCCCGGCAGCTTCCGAGGCTCCAGGTACGTCTTCTTCTGCTGCGTCAGCCACGGCAGCATGGTCAGCGAAGGAGCGAAGGCCCGCGAAGCCGTCGGTGGGGTCGTCTGAGTTGGCAATGTTGTCCAGGTAATGCTGCAGCGTCAGTCGCTCGTAGAAGATAACATCACGTGATGCCACCGTATTTTTGTCGTGTATGTCGAGGATCTTCCACGCGTGAAAATGTTTGGCGATGCCGAGGTGTAGTCCCCACCGAGCTCGTTGAGTGAAGCGTCCTGCTCGAGCTGTGTGGGGTCTGTATTGTACCATGCAGCCGAAAACTCGAAGTAATTTTGTGCTGCCCCTTTTTCCCGTCCACAGCAGGTGTGGTGATGCGTTGTTGGGGAGCGATGACGAGGACAACAGGTTGTGCAGGTGGACTGCATGTGTCATCGCGTCTGGCCACAGTGCGTTGGGCAGCCTCATCCCCAGAAGCAGTTTTCGCATCGTCGTCTGCAAGGTCCGGTTCATGCGTTCTGCTACCCCCTGCTGCTGGTGAGCATAGGGCAGAGACACCAGGCGTCGGATTCCCCTTTCCGCGAGATAGGTCCTGAAGCGTTGTGACTGGTATTCCAGTGCACCGTCTGACTGGAAACTCTTGAGTTTGGTTCCTGACTCTCGTTCGGCGATTGGAAGCCATGTGGTGAATGCCTCGAAGGCTTGATCGCGCGTTTTGAGATTGAAGTGCCAGACGTATCTGGTTGCGGCGTCGATGAACGTGATGACGTAGTTGAAGTCGGCTTCGGTGTCGTCTCGAGGCATGTTTAGAATATCGCTGTAGACCTTTTCCATCGGAGCGTAAGTGGGTGCGCTTGGATTGTGATGGGCTGGGAAAGGTTGATGAGGAAGATCTGCTTCGGGGCATGTGAAACACCGTGCGCGTGGTCGTCGGAGTTCCTGGCCGCTCGTCGTCAGAAGGGCGTTGCGTTCTAACACTTCTGCTTGGATTGTTTGAAGTATCGTGCTGTTTGCAGGATGTCCGAGACGTTGGTGCCAGATGTCGTCGGGAGCGCGGTGACCGGGCGAGCGGTGGTAGATGTCGGCGTTGGAGAAGAACGCGACGACCGAGGCGGGACTTCGACAAGCTTCTCGTGTGGCGGGCATAAGTTGGTCTGCTTCGGTTGGCTGTCCTCGTGTCGCTGGTGGTGGTACTCGGCTGGGTCCTGCTGCCGATACTGCAGGTGATGGTTTTGCTGGGACACATGCGGGTACTTGTCTTTCTTGTCTGATAACTGCTAATGCTCGTGTTCTTTCTGCTGCAGGTATGGTGTTGGAGTGCCAGAAGCCGTCGCTGTCGAAGTCGGGATCAAGATCTGGCGGATGAGTCCAGGCGGCGAAAGATACGATACCGTCGCTGTCGGCAGTTCCGCGGTCGGGGACGAAGTCCAACACGAAGACACCGGACTTCAGGAGGGCACGACCGATGAAGAGACCGCCCTTCCCGTGGTAAAGTCGGAACTCGTTGGAGAAGGAGTCGCACTCCAGGTGAATCCCCTTAGCCATTAGTTGGCTTACGCTTAATAGGTTGTATCCCAGATTGTCGACGATGAGGACCTTGTTGAGCTGAAGAATAACGTTTGTCTCCATTGATTGTAACTGAACCACGCCTTGTCTATTTGTTTTCAGGTTTTCGTTGTTGGCGACGGTGATGACGACGTCACGGTTGAGGCGTCGCTCGTGTTGTACGAAGCGTCCGGAGGAGCACATGTGCTGACCGCAGCAACTGTCCAAGAACCAGGTGTTCCGCCCGGTGGGTTCGGCGTTAGCGACTGCAGCGTATGTCGGGTTGACCTGAAGTCCTTGCGAGCGCGGCGGCGGGAATTCCTCTTCGTCTGGTGCGTAAGTGGGTGGTGAAGCGGGTGCGCAGTTGTCGATGTGTACCATGCAGTTGATGATGTTGGGTGTTTGTTGTGCAGATGTTGAAGAGCGCCTTGGAGGACTTGCTTGAGTGGAAGCGACTTGTGGGTCTGCTGCACGGTAAACGCGAGGGCGGTTGCAGTTGACCTTGGAGTGCCCGGAAGTCTGACAGTTGTGGCAGAACGGCGGCACGATGGTGAGTCCTCGGTTGTCGCGTTGATCTTGCTTGCTGCGTCGGTTGTAGTTGTTGTCATTTCTTCTTTGAGTGTAGAAGACTAACTGCTGTTGCTTCCTTGGTTGTCTTTCCTCGAACAGATCCATCTCCTGTTGTTCAGCGTGAAGCTCGGCGCAGAGGTGCATCTCCGAAATTCTTCCGTGGGCTCGAAGAAGTGATCGTGTGGTTCTCCATTCAGGCCCGAGCCCGGCGAGGACAAGTGTCACGAAGCTTTCTTCAGTGATCGTTCCTCCGCACCGAAGCAGGCGGTCGCGGAGGGTCTGGCAGCGACTCATATACTGCATCGCCTTTTCCCCGGTCTTCATCTGTATTGTTGTCAGCTGTTGCATGAGTCTGCTTTGTGTCACGCTGTCGTTTGCTTGGTAAAGGCATTTGAGGTGGTGCCATGCGAGCTCCGCGGAGTTTCCATAACTCCGATACGTTCTGATGCTCTGCTGCTCTTGTGGTGACAGGTTTCTCAGGAGTACCGTGTACGCCAGCAGCGACTGATACGTGAAGATCTCTTGTTCCTTCCCAGTGCCGTTGCTTGGGAATGGCAGGGACCCGTTGAAGTATCCCAGAAGATGCGCGGCCTCCATCAGCAGCTCGAACTCGAAGCTCCAGGTAAAGAAGTCGTGTCCGTTGAACGGTGAGGATGTCTGAAGTTTGATCACGTGTGAGAACTGCGCCTGTAAACTTAAGATTTCATTCGGTGTTTGTTGTGAAGCAGCTGCTGTTGGCTGGGCACGGGGCGGCATGAATTCGAACGTCCCCGGCGAAGAATGATAAGGCGCAAAGGTAGGCGCTTGATTGTGTCGCCCGAAGGATGAGTTGTCGAGGCTCATCGGCGCTAATCCCATATTCCCTCCATTGCTCTGTGTTGAGTGCGCAGGTGTCCTTGTCTGCTGCTGCTGATCGAAGTGTGACATGAAGCTGAAGAATCTCTCCATGAGATTCGGGTCCACACTTGAAGAGGGAGACGGGGTCACCATCTCTGGTACTCTTCCCGTTGTTTCTTGAGCAGTCCCGGTCTCTGTCTGCAGTCCTGAGGTGTGCAGACCAGAGTTGCCGTGTTGAGTTTCTTGGGCGCTGGGTGAGCCCGTAGAGACTTTCTTGCCCTTGTTGTCCATGTCTTGTAATCAATGAAGTCGTTGAATTGAGTTGAGTTGCAGGTTGTTGATAGGACGTAGTTGCTGGGAGTTTGGTCTCTGACCAGCTCTCATACCATGTTGGGCTGAGAAAAGCCCTTAGGATCTTTTGCAGAGACTAAGTCCCAGCTGTAGAGACTTGAGACTTGGAGTAGTGCAGCGGAAGTTGAGGCAGTTGAACCCTTGTACTAGTATGTGAGAACAAGTGATTGATTAAAGAAACAAGCATACAGCAATATATAGTAGATAAGAAAGCAGTTGTAGAATACAGTTACAGGAACGGTTTATCGAGTCGCACAGCGACTCGATTGCCGCTTCGGTTACCATCCGTGATGTTGTAACGGTCAGTCGCAACCTCCAGTTGCGACCTTTCGAGTCCTTTCGCATTCTTTGTCCGCCCCCTCGTGTAACCTCCGTTGACTCGCGTGCTCCCCTGTAATCTTCCTCGAGTACAGTGTTACACTTCAGAAACGCTTAAGTCCTTGAGATATTTCCAACAATTTGAATGAGCGGTGCCGGTGATATGCTCTGACTGCACCGCTCAAGTCGTCGCTTTTTAGGTGCCACCAGCAAAGTCCAGTCACGAGGAACATGCCCCACCGCTGTGCCTTTGTGATCGTCACTGGTGCAGAGGCTCCTGCCTATTATCGTGTCCTAACCAGAGCAAGTCCTCTCTTTCTCAGACAAACGTCACATCATGTAATCAGCTTATGGGAAGGATAAACCAGAGAGATAGCCCAATATAGACTCCAATAGTAAACCGCAAACTATAGCGCATGAATTACTGTAGGACCAGCTACAGCACCGCAAGTATCTTTACACGCTACCTACCTGTGCCTGGTCATTCTACATGCTGGCTGGAACATTGGAGATGCAACCCTTCTCTAGGCTACTACCTTAGAAATGCGTCAGTCATGGCTGTTGTTGCATCTGTAATGTTCCTACCACCATCATCCCTATAAAGCTACGGAACTTAGAACTTCCCACCAATCATCTTTCCTGAAAGCACACCATCACTCCCAGAGAACCCCAGGTACAGGTTGTCATTCGTGATCTCCTGGAGGGACGCCAGCACATCCGCCACGTCAGCAGCCGACACGCTCACAACATTGGCCAGGGACCAGGATGCAGCACTCATGAGCTGCCATGTGCCAGGAAGGCTCAGCGCCACGGTGGCGTCGGTGCTGCTGCAGGGGCTGCCCTTGTAGATGGCCTGGGTCTGAGGAGCCTCGCTGATGCCCGCTGCGTAGAGGTAGTAGGAGACAATGTAGCTGGAGCCACTGCAGTGGGGGAAGGGAGGGCCAGGGAGATGCGAAGGAAAGTAGTTAGTGAGCTGCAGGGGGAGAAGACAGGGGCCAGTGTAACACAAGAGCAGAGACCGTGTTGTAACAAGAGACGAATAGCAGACAGGACATGTGAGAAGTTGAATGCCCGAGTCAGATTTAAAACTTACAAATGTGTTGGCAAGGGGGGGGGGGGGGGAGAGGAGGGGCGGGGGGGGGGTGGGGGGAGGGGGGAGGGGGGGGGGGTTGGGGGGGAAGGGAATGGGCTGGGGTTTCTTACGTCTTGAGGATCTGGACGTTGGCGGCGCCAGCCTGAAGGGTCTGCAGTCCGTTGCACGAAGTGAGCGCCCCCCGCAGCATGCCCGCCTGCTGGGGCAGCAGGCTCGCAGCACCCGACGCCAGGCTGCCGTTCAAAACGGCGTTGAGAGCATCGCTGACAGTGCTGCTAGCAGCGCCGCTAAGAGTCGCGTTAAGAGCGCCGTTGATCACGCTGTAGAGAGCGCGTGTGACGGCCGACACGTTCGCGTTGACCCCCGCGATCCGCTGCGTCACTGCGCCCATTCTCCTCGACAGCCGCTGCCTCACCAGCGCGCGGATCGCTGCAGCAGAGGAGACGCTGGCGGAAATAACCCCAGAAGGCCTGGCAGCAACCCCCGCGCCGACTATTCCCGCCAGGTCCTTGTTGAGCACGTCGACGCTCGCCCTGATGGCGGAAATGTTGGATTTGATCGCCCCGATCTGAGCGTTGAGGTGAGCGTTAAGGGCTGATGTGATGTTGGCAGCTGAGATATTCGCCGCTGAGATGAGATTTGACTTCAGCGTGGCGTTGAGATCGGCGAGGGTGCTGTTGAGCGTAGCGAGGTTGGCTTTTAGCGTGGATATCTGCGCCTGGAGGGCGGCATCGGCGGCTGACGCGTTGCCGTTGAGGCTCGCCGCGACCTGCTCGAGGCGGCCCTTGAGAGCCGCGTCGAGGGACGCGACTTGGCCTTGCAACGACGACTCAAGATCCGCGAGGCTGGAGTTCAGGGACGCTGTGAGGTTGGATTTTAGCGCCGCGGCTGCGCTGGATGGCTTGAGGGCGGCTGGAAGGCGATTTGTGGGAAGAACGCCGCTGGGTAGGAACCTCGCCTCGGTTTGTAGTGCGAAAAGTGCTGAATTTGAATGGAACGTGGGAAAAGGAGATGGTTGTCAGATTTAGCTGAGGAGATTTTCATGCAAGGACGCAATCTGGATATTGAACAGATTCAAGGGACGGGACTCGGACTATGATGGTAATAGAATGGGACACGCCCAAATTGGGCAGGTCGCCAAGTGCTCACCTGTGGCCCCTTTTGGCTCATCAATTCATGATAACTCTCCCCCCCCCCCCCCCCCAACCCACCCCCCCGCTCTTCTCCCTCCCTCCTCTCCTCCTTGCCTGGCCCTTCCCTTTTCCTCCTGCCTTCACTGCCTTCAGGCACGCTCTGCTTCGCCTCGGGCAAGCCAGCCAAGAAGTGGGCTCTCTGGGGCCGCAGCTACTGAGGTTTCGCAATCCAGTGTTACACAGTAGTTTGCTGAGGTCCATCCAAAAAGCAGAAATTGTTCTGGCAAGAAATGGATGATGCTTTGTGGCACTATTTACTGAAAACCCCAAGGGCACCGTGGTACTTCTAGATTAGCTGAGGGTATCAATCAGATACTGCTCTAGCCTCTTGAGTAACCGCAAGTTGCAACAAAACCTGTTATCTGGGTAACCTGGCCCCCTCTGATATCTCACGCTGCATCTGGTGGTGGAGATTGCAGCGCATTCGGACCACAGCCTTACCCTCGAATCTGTAGGTGCCTAAAAAATAGACTCGCGCATTCAATCCACAGCCTTGTTGCCAATTTGCCGTGCAGACTGCTAAGCAAAGAAGTGCAGCACTGAAGGCCAGGCCCATGCTTTTGCATTCCTGGCACTTTTGAGTGGGTAAATGAACACAACCGTGCAGTGCAGTCAATCTGGAGTTGCAAGGGCAGGGGAGCAGAGGGGACGGAAATTGGGGAAGAGGGTGGGGGGGAGGGATGGGGTTTTGTGAAGGAACCAGACTGCCAGACTACCACTGCAGTTGCTGCTCCCTCAGAAGAGCCGTGAGGAAGCAGGAGAAGACGTAAGTGATTTGCGAGTCAGCTCATACGTCACCGGGAGTCTTACTCATGGCTCGCCTTGACCCTGCAAACCCCCCTGCACCGCCCGTCGAAAGAGGAATCTCGAGCTGCTGCCGTTGCAGGCACAACCACTCGCCGAGAAGAGTCATGAGGAGGCAGGAGAGGAGGGAGGTGAGTCATGAGGAGGCAGGGAAAGCGAGTAAGAAGAAGGGACTTACTCATGGCTCGACTCGACCCTGCAGGTCCTCCTCCTGCTCCCCCAGTGCTCAAAGGAATCTCCCTCTGCTCCCGTTGCAGGCACAGCCACTCCCCCAGGAGAGTCATGAGGAGGCAGGAGAGGAAGGAGGTGAGCCAGAAGGAGAGGGAGGCGGGCGGGCTTGCGTAGAGCAGGCACAGCAGCGCGTGCAGCAGATGCACCGTGGCCGCAAAGTCGAGACACTTCTTGGTGCGCTCCACCACCACCACCAGGTAGAAGGCTCTGGGGGAAGGAGGAGGTGAGGGAGGCGAGGGAGGGGAGCGAGGGGGGGAGGGGGGGGGGGGGGGGGAGGAGGAGAGAGGGTAGTGGGAGGGGGAAGTCGAAGGGTTTACAAGGCGCACCATATGAATATTCACGCATAGAGCCAACTCAATGCCACAAGGCTTTTGCTCCCCACCCCTCACCCACCCACCCTTCCCGCCCTCGACCCTCACCCCTTTCAATCCCCCCCTGCACCTCACCCCCACTCCACCCACTCCTCCCGCAACGCACGCACCCTACAAACGCGTTCGCCAGAAACGCGAATATGCAGCACCAGCCGACGAAGCTGGAGACGGAGATCACGGAATAGTCGAAGAAGTACTTAAGCGTGAATCGCGGCACGTGCGACCCGACGAAGAGCCACAGAAGCGCGCCGAGCGAGAGGTAGAACAAGGACTGCAGGCACGCGATCTGCGCCACGATGAGCCACGGGTCCCACACCATCGCGCCGTAAAACATGGCGACGACTCGGCGCGCAACGGCCTCGTGGAGGAGCTGCAGCGGCCGGAACCCGCGCCGCTTCGCCTTGCTGTCCGTGGTGGCTGTGTTGAGGCGCCTCAAGAAATGAGGCTAAATTTGGTTCGAGGGGGTAACCACCTCTTTTTCGAGGGTGTAGCGAACTTCGCCTTGCTGTCCGTGGTGGCTCTGGTGGTTGCCGTTCACGGCGGGGCGAAACGCTTGAATTCGGAAGGTATTAAAAGAAGCAGAACGGATTCTGTTACTTAATACAACCGATCTACAATACGGGCGGTACGGGCGGGAATTTCCGCTGGCGATACGGCATCGTGCACGTCGAGCCTAGAAATGTAACGCTTAGATTCAAAAGGTACCAGAAGAGGCGAGACAGATACACGCCTAGTGTTCTGGACCAGAGATTGGGCCACGTCGTCTACGTTATCGCCGAATAACACGGTCGAGCATAACGAGAAGTCGCCTTAATTCGAATTAGGAAGTCGGGAGAAAAGGATGGCAAGGATTGCGGCAAGTATGCAACCAGGTAGGCCGAAAGCGATGTAACTTAAAGCGAGGGTCTCGAGAAGCGAAAACCAAACCCGAAGGTTTTGGTTTCGGGGGATCTCGAAAATTCCGAGGTGTGGTGAGGGTGCTAGTTGGGCGTTGTTACTGTTTCGCTAATTTCGTCAACCCAAAACCAAACCTTTTGGATTTGGTTTTTTGCTTCTCGAGACCCGCGCTTTAAGGGAATAAATCTGCGTCCTAGGGAGTGAGGAACAACGTGCCAGATTTTGTTACGGCCGAAGGTGTGCCTAGGATTAGATGAGAGCTGGTGTGGTACGACGCAGTGTCCTTTAGTACGGTATATTGCTATCTGACTAATAAACTACAAGACGCACACCTTACAAGCAAAATCTTCCAACAAATTCTTCTTAGAAATGTTTCCACTATCACACCAACTGTTGGCCAAACAAAATGCATATATTTTCAATAAAGAGGGTTCTACATAAAACATGCTGGTTGGAACATAACAGATGCAACCCCTCTTCCTACTTACTCCATTTTCAAGGTTGCTGCATTTGTCATGTTCCTACCAATCGTCCCCTTTGCAGTCTCATCAATACTTCCCACCAATCATCCTTCCTGAAAGCACACCATCACTCCCAGAGAACCCCAGGTACAGGTTGTCATTCGTGGTCTCCTGGAGCGATGCCAGCACATCTGCCACGTCAGCAGCCGACACGCTCACAACATTGGCCAGGGACCAGGATGCAGCACTCATGAGCTGCCATGTGCCAGGAAGGCTCAGCGCCACGGTGGCGTCGGTGCTGCTGCAGGGGCTGCCCTTGTAGATGGCCTGGGTCTGAGGAGCCTCGCTGATGCCCGCTGCGTAGAGGTAGTAGGAGACAATGTAGCTGGAGCCACTGCAGTGGGGGAAGGGAGGGCCAGGGAGATGCGAAGGAAAGTAGTTAGTGAGCTGCAGGGGGAGAAGACAGGGGCCAGTGTAACACAAGAGCAGAGACCGTGTTGTAACAAGAGACGAATAGCAGACAGGACATGTGAGAAGTTGAATGCCCGAGTCAGATTTAAAACTTACAAATGTGTTGGCAAGGGGGGGGGGGGGGGGAGAGGAGGGGCGGGGGGGGGGAAGGGGGGAGGGGGAAGAGGGGGGTGGGGGGGGAGGGAATGGGCTAGGGTTTCTTACGTCTTGAGGATCTGGACGTTGGCGGCGCCAGCCTGAAGGGTCTGCAGTCCGTTGCACGAAGTGAGCGCCCCCCGCAGCATGCCCTCCTGCTGGGGCAGCAGGCTCGCAGCACCCGACGCCAGGCTGCCGTTCAAAACGGCGTTGAGAGCATCGCTGACAGTGCTGCTAGCAGCGCCGCTAAGAGTCGCGTTAAGAGCGCCGTTGATCACGCTGTAGAGAGCGCGTGTGACGGCCGACACGTTCGCGTTGACCCCCGCGATCCGCTGCGTCACTGCGCCCATTCTCCTCGACAGCCGCTGCCTCACCAGCGCGCGGATCGCTGCAGCAGAGGAGACGCTGGCGGAAATAACCCCAGAAGGCCTGGCAGCAACCCCCGCGCCGACTATTCCCGCCAGGTCCTTGTTGAGCACGTCGACGCTCGCCCTGATGGCGGAAATGTTGGATTTGATCGCCCCGATCTGAGCGTTGAGGTGAGCGTTAAGGGCTGATGTGATGTTGGCAGCTGAGATATTCGCCGCTGAGATGAGATTTGACTTCAGCGTGGCGTTGAGATCGGCGAGGGTGCTGTTGAGCGTAGCGAGGTTGGCTTTTAGCGTGGATATCTGCGCCTGGAGGGCGGCATCGGCGGCTGACGCGTTGCCGTTGAGGCTCGCCGCGACCTGCTCGAGGCGGCCCTTGAGAGCCGCGTCGAGGGACGCGACTTGGCCTTGCAACGACGACTCAAGATCCGCGAGGCTGGAGTTCAGGGACGCTGTGAGGTTGGATTTTAGCGCCGCGGCTGCGCTGGATGGCTTGAGGGCGGCTGGAAGGCGATTTGTGGGAAGAACGCCGCTGGGTAGGAACCTCGCCTCGGTTTGTAGTGCGAAAAGTGCTGAATTTGAATGGAACGTGGGAAAAGGAGATGGTTGTCAGATTTAGCTGAGGAGATTTTCATGCAAGGACGCAATCTGGATATTGAACAGATTCAAGGGACGGGACTCGGACTATGATGGTAATAGAATGGGACACGCCCAAATTGGGCAGGTCGCCAAGTGCTCACCTGTGGCGAAGAGTGCGAAGATCACGAGAGACGCAGCTGAATTCCGTGCCATTGAGAAACTAGTAGTGCGGCGAGCCGAACGGGAAAACGCCTCTTATCTTGTTGCTGAAGTTTCGTACTAAGTGGCGAATAAGCTTCGATAGGAGAGCTACTCGTCGCTGAAATATTTTACTGGCTTTGAGTTCGAAGATTGCGGTGGATGCGCCGAGAAAATGGCAGCTGAGGAGCAGAATTTGCGAGCTGACGAGATGTTTGAGTTTGATGGGAAGAGAATTTCTGGGGTTGGATTTATAGCGCCTTGGCACGCTGAGAAAATGTTGCTCGGACCGCGGATTCCCGTGAATGGCTCCCAGGTTTTCGCCAAGGTCGCACGCGGAGACGGAGAGGAAAGGAAGGTGTTGGACATTGTTGACAGAGTGTTACGGCGAGGCGCAATCGGCGGCAAGCAGAGAACGCGCCGGAAGAAAAAAAAAACCGATCGGTGACTCGACTGAAGCTTGTTCGTTTGTAACTGCAGTTGTCAGCAAACAAGTATATTATTTTCTACCTGAAGCCTATTATCCATGTGAACCAATGTTTACTTCAAGCGTTTCCATTAATCAATCTCGTTAATGATCTGGAGAAACGAGATCATTCCAGCTAAATAACACGTACTACCCAAAATCAATATCACCTCTCTAGCATGCTCCACATTCCAATCTCATCCACCCATCATCATCCTCCCTCTACAGTCACCGTGACCCCGCCTTGGACTTGCTCATCTCCTCCAATTGCTCAATCAGCTTCCTCTCCTCACCCGACAGCGACTTCGGAATCTCCACTTGCACCTTCACCAGATGGTCCCCGCGCAAATTCGGCTTCCCAAGCACCGGCACCCCGCGCTTGGCCATCACAAGGGTGCTCCCAGGCTGCGTCCCGGCCGGAACCTTCAGATCCACCGGCCCATCCACCGTCCGGACCTGCTTAGTCGTGCCAAGGATCGCCTCTAGGTACGAGACCTTTAGGGTTTGTAGGATGTCGGCCCCCTTGCGCTCGAGCTCGCGGTCGGGGCGCACCGAGAGGAACACATAGAGGTCCCCCGGGGGGCCGCCTCTCAGCCCCGCGTCGCCCTCCCCCCTCACTCTCAGCCGGCTGCCGTTGTCCACTCCTGCTGGCACCTGGTAGGGGGAGAAGGGAGAACAAAGAACAAGTGATTGGCCGCCTGTTAGCCCTGTGTCACCCTCCCCCCTCACTCTCAGCCTGCTTCCGTTGTCCACTCCTGCTGGCACCTGGTGTGAGGGAGGAGGGAAGAGGAATGGGGGGGGAGGGAGAACATAATACCACAAGACAAAAAAAAAAAAAAAAAAAAAAAAAAAAAAAAAAAAAAAGAGCTGCTGGCGTATTTAAAAAAATGATGCCTTGAGCGTGCCCATGCACACTGTCGGTCCCACAGGGGGAGAAGATCTTGCACCCCAAGGAGCTTTGAGGCGCCTCAAGAAAAGCCCTTGCCCCTCCCCCTACCCATTGCACCTGGGAGTTCCAAAGGAAGACCAAGGTATCCTAACCCACCTTGAGAGTGACTTGCTTGGACTTGCGCACGCGCCCGCCGCCACTGCAGGTGGGGCAGGGAGTAGAAATTTCTCCACTCCCCCCGCACCGTGGGCACGTGGTGACCTGCTGGAACATGCCCAGGGGCGTGTTGGCTACGGACACCACCTGCCCCTGGCCGTTGCAGGAGGAGCAGGTGGTGGGCGTGGTGCCCGCCTTGGCGCCCGACCCTTGCACGTGCCGCACGCCTCCATGCGCGACACGTCGATCTGCTTCTCCGAGCCGAACACCGCCTCCAGGAAATCAATGGTCAGGTCGTATCTGGGTGGGAGGGAGGGTGGAATGGGGAGGGAAACCATGGCATCCATGTTCCAACGGCCCACACCCCACATGCCCAACCAGAGTTTCACCCCTCATAACCCAATTTCATCGCATCTCACCTCGGGCAACGCGTCGAGACCCCATGCCTCCCATGCCTCCCATCCCCCTGATTCCGTCCGCACCGCGCATTCCACCCGCCTATACCCGAAGCCCATGCAACTTTGGCAAAAAAATCCCCAGCACCCGACAGAACTACATACCCTTCCACCGCATCTCACCTCTCGTCATCCCCTTGCACAGGGGCAGTGCGTCGAGACCCCCATGCCGCCCATGCCGCCCATCCCTCCCATGCCGCCCATCCCGCCCTCCAAAGAAGGTCTCAAACAGGTCAAAGGGATTGTTGAACTCCTGAAAGAGGGAGACAAAGGAGGGAGGGGAAGAGGAAGGGGGGAGGGGGGAGGGTGGGGAAGGGGGGAACAAGTGAGGGATGTAGGGTTACAACGTCTAGTTTTGAGGCGCCTCAAAACAATGAGGGATGTAGGGTTACAACGTCACATTCCGCCCATGCCGCCCATCCGTCCTCCAAAGAACGTCTCAAACAGGTCAAAGGGATTGCTGACCTCCTGAAAAGAAGAGAGGGAGGGGTGGTGTTGGTGGGGTGGAGGGGGGGCCGGGGGGTTGAGGGGGGGTTGGCTTCTGTGACAGCAGGAGGGAGGGCGGGAAGGTCGAGTGAGGGAGGGTGGGCAGGAGAGAGGAGTACATACAGGACAAGGAGACCAGGGGACCCATAGAAGCAAGGGGAGCAATAGAAGGGACGAGGGCGATAGACGAGAAGAGAGACGTACCGAGCCAGCGCCGCCTTGACTCCCGCCTCTCCGAATCTGTCATACAACGAACGCTTCTCGTCGTCAGATAGCACCTGGTTGGGGTGGGAGATAGGGAGGGGGAAGGCGGGAGGGGGGGTTGGGGGGGGGGGGGAGGGAGGCAGGATTGAGGGTCAGGAAAGGAGGGACTAAGAGAGAAGGCTGTACCACGCCAGCTCCGTCCTTGACTATCGTCTCGCCAAATCTGATGCAAAGATAATGCTTCTCATCGTTAGACACCACCTGGTGACACTGGGAAGGGGGGTGTGGGGCGGGAGGGGGAAGAGGGGGTGAGGGGGGGTTGTGGCGAGTGGGGCGAGGGGAGGGGAGTTTGGGTTTGTCTAGGGAGGAGGTCGAGGGGGAAGGGGTTGAGGTTGGAGGGGTTCACGGAAAGGTGTGGTCAGAAGAGGTTGACCAGAAGAGGTTGACTAGAAGAGGTTGAGGTCTTCTGAAGAAGAGGTTGACCTCTTCGGAAGAGGGGGACTAAAATACCTAAGATATACGTCTGCTTGACGAGGTTGACTCAAGCGTTCAGCAGGAGCATGTAATTCAGTGGCAAGCAGACGTACCTCATACGCGTTACTGATTTCCTTGAACTTGGTCTCAGCCTCTGGTGCCCTGTACAGGGAACGAGCAGAATCGGGAATAATACAGAAGAGCACGGGCTTCTGTTTACAGAAGAGCACGGGCTTCTGCAAACAGCGAAGCACGCAGTAGATGCATCATGGCTGTGCTGTAACGTGGCTTCGGTAGCCATAAGGGGTGAGTCGGTTTAGGAGGAGTCCCAAAAACCAACTTGCATCATGGCTGTGCTGTGAAGTGGCTTCGGTAGCCATGTGGGAGGGGACCGCCTGCCTTAACAAAAGAACACCTGGACACTCACTTGTTCACGTCAGGGTGATACTTGCGCGCCAAGCGCCGATACGCTGAGAAAGGGGGGCGAGAGGAGAACAGGACGGGGGGGGGGAAGGGGGGGGAGGAAGGGGGGAAGGGGGGAAGTGAGCACGAAGAAGCGCGATTTATCGAACGAATGATGGGAAGGGCAAGAGAGAGAGAGAGAGAGCGTGAAGGTGGAAGATAAGTGTTTGTGCTTGGTTGATTGCTAGCCGCTCTTTATTTGTGACTTCTCCACTCCCAGCACCGAGTAGTGTGAGACGGGAGAAGTGAGCGATTTTTGAGTCGACTCAAAAATCACCAGCGCCGAGTAGTAGTGTGAGACGGGAGAAGCGAGCGCGAGCAGCAAGGAGTTTGTAATTGTGCTTGGGCGTGCGCTTGTGCTTGCTTACCACTCTTTATTTGTGACTTGTCCGCATTCTTCTCCACTCCCAGCACCGAATAGTAGTCCTGCAACGCAAGAAACGCAAGAAACGCGCATACAACACCCCTTATAACCTATCGCTCTTCTCCATTCTCCACACCAAGTAGCAGCCCTGCAAATACAGCGAAACCAGCATACAGACCTTTGCCTCTCACGGATCTAAGCACACAACATTTTCCTCACATTGGCACAATATTCACGTTTTCCACGTTCAAAGTATGTGCACTGTCTCGCACTAAGTCTTATCCCCGCGTTTCCACGTTTTTATCGGCGACATCTAGCTCATCACATTTCCAGACGTTTGCCTCATCGCGATACGAGCTCTGGCTCACCGCATATGCGTTAGAACCAAGGGCTTCCCCTTTCCGCAAAGCGACTGGATATGAGGTTTTTGTACAGACATCTCGAAACCAACCATCCGATACAAACCATGTCACCGCATCTAACCCCGACTCACCGCATCTGCGCGGACCACAAGGGCGTTCCCCCTCCGCCTTTCCCCCCGCGACTGGGAGGCGGAGAGAAAGGCGGCTCTGCTAGCGCCGTTGCCGCTGAAGAACGTCCCCTGAGACGACGCGTAGGCGATGGATGAGGGGCTGGTGACGGGGATACCCAAAAAGGGGGGCGGCGGAAGGAAGGAGAGGGGAGGGAGAAGAGTGGAGGGAATTCACAGACCCGGAGAAGTAGCCAAACTAAACTAAGGGGATCAGTAACCCTAGTCGCAAAACAAAACGAGCAACGGCTGTAAAGAGGGCATAAAACGGAAGCAGCACTCATGCGAAAAAAACGTACCCAGCATTGCAGTTTGCAACGAGCGGGGGGCCGAAGGGCATATTGAAGGAACGATAAGATCGAAACAACTTAGTGCTGGTACGATACCTTAAGTTTCGTCTCTCGGAACCAGACGATAGCGCCACGGTAGCGTGGAGCCGGGAAAGAGGCGAAGCCAGCGCTGCGGTCCCCATGATCAGCCGACGCTAAGAGTCTAAAAAACTCTATTGAAATGTCTGGCAGTAATGGCTGAGACGACGAGAAGATAAGCGGAGCTCACAAAACGTGTCCTGTTGGCTGGATAAAACGATTCCGCCGGAACGTCCTAAGGTGCCTGGATCAACTGCGTTCAGGCGGAAGGCTCTTGCCGCAGTCGCCAAAAAAAGCACAAGCAACGCGCGACGGGTTCTTTTATATGATTCAAGAAGCTGAAAGAAAATCTGTCGGCGGAACAGCCTGACGAGCCTTCAGAAGGTGGGCGGACGCACACGCGGGTTGGCTTACGAGATAGCTTGCTTGGCTAACCTGCAGAACCGAAATCGGTTGCCGTGTGAGCGGGATCAAGGAAATACGGCTCCCTTTCAACTGCAGCCTTGTTTGAGAGATTTGTCCTGGAAAGAGTATCTCTGATGGCGTGTGCCAAGGGTACGTCAGAATGCGGTTGAGTGAGCTGGATTGCGTTTCGAAAGAATAAAGTAACTCCGTAAAACGGTTCGGTAGGGTATTGGCCAAAAACAAACACTACACGCCCTGAGGGTGTCTAGAACTAGGAACTGTCTCTAGATGGGGATGTTGGATCAGCGAACCTTGGGGTCTCCAACAATGTTGCTATAACGAAGCATGTTTCCAGTCCCTTCTCCTTGGCCGCCACACGCTAGAGTCGACAGATTCGAATGCTGTGCTGGCACCAGTTGGGAATGCACCCCTTCCCCCCAGTCGGGCAGAATTCGATAAATTTGGCTCTGAATCGACAGGTTCCCTTGCTCGCTCCTCTAATCTAAACAAAGTGACTCATGACGTGGCGAATGCTGAGAGGTATGATGTGGCTTGCCATTGCGAATCTCCACTGGCGGCTTCGGGAAGCTACCGTGCATCCACATAGGCAGACTCCAAGCTGCTGCAACAGCCAGCGTGGACAAGTTTGTTTACGCCCACTTCCGTCAGGGTGGTGTAATTTTCCTCTTCCAACAAGTCCGTGGACTTCCAATAATGACCTCTTGTGTTGATAGAAACATATGCCATGCAACAAGGTGCATGGCCTTCACAAAACCATGTAGAACAGATGTGCAATTGTAAATCTGACGGCCCACGAACTACTTCCAATTCGCGAGCTGAAACACCCTTGCGAGTTTTTAGCGTGTTTCGTGAAACCTCAGCCCAAAGTTCATACCCAATGCGTACAATTTGGGATGCGGGTTTTAACGCTCCAACAATACAGCTTACATGAGCTTACATAAACAACCGCTACAAAATTAGCTGCAACAAGCATGCACAGCAGAACGAAAGATAAAGAAACCACCCATGTCATAGAAAACCGCCAGAGCTTGGTCATGTCACTACCATAAGAGAAAATTACACGCCTGCTATACAGATGTCCAGACTCACCCTCCTCTTGGTGTTCCCATAACAAATGCCTCAAATTGGCTCCCCTAGTCTCGCGTCCAGCAGCAAATGCCAATCTCGCCTGACTTACATAATTGAGATCATCAGGCCATGCAGACTTCTGTGGGCGTCGGCACTTCCAAGGGCATAACAGGCGGAAGTTGGCGAGTTGCTCATGGGAGGCGAGTTGAGGCGCGGCGAGGCGAGGCGACGCGAGGCGAGGCGATAACACTGAAAGTTGGCTCCGCGACTCTATGCGACTGGTGCTCCACTAGCGAATCCTACATCCCATGCGAAAAGCCTTTCGCATTATTCTCCTACGCCAGTTGACCCCTGATGGTGAAATACCAGTCCGACATCTTCTTGGGCGGCCACGTGATCTGAACGTAGTAGTCGGCGGGAGCCTTCGCTATAGCCGAGGCATTCGCTTTACTCAACTGGAGCTTCGCCGTGAAAACCTTGATCCGCCCGCGGAATCCCGTCGACGACCAAACCCCCTTGATATCCCGGTTGATCATCTGTCCGTACAGCCCCTTCTTCCCCTTATACAGTCCCACTCGCGTCCACGGATCCCACGGGTTGAACAGCGACGAGTGCTTGCCCTTCACTTTGCCCGTGACGTTGATTTTGCACGAGAAGACCGGCGGCTCGGCGGATGCTTTGCTCGCGGTGCCTGCGCTGGCTGATTTTACCGTTGCATTGACTCCATCTGGTACCACCGGTTTCCCGCCTTGCGTCAGGTTGTACTCGAGCGTCGCGTTCATCCCGAGGGCCTTCACGAGGAGCGGGCCGTACCCGCCTTGCACCACGTTCTCGGGAAGAAGCTTTGCGGCAGTCGCGCCTGATTGGGAAGGGGTAGAAAGGAGGAGGAAGAGGATAAGGCAGAGCAAGATCAGGAGAGAGGCGCGTTCATCCCGAGGGCCTTCACGAGGAACGGGCCGTATCCGCCTTGCACCACGTTATTGGGCAGAAGTTTCGCTGCCATAGCGCCTGTTTGGGGAAAGAAGGGGAGGAAGGGAAGGAAGTAAGGACGGATAGGAAAGGAAAGGGCGCTGGTGGGAAAAGAAACGGAAGGGGCTGTAGGCCTTTTGTACCGCGTTTCCCCTGGAGAAGTTTCGTACAGGAGGCAGCGGCGCAAGACATGCGCGGAAGGTGAGAAGACGAGGTGATTGGGGGAAAAAATCGGGGAAGAGAGAACAGTGTGTGTGAGGACAAAAGGGACCCAGACTGGCTGCTGGAAAGATTGCTTTTGGGAAGGGGCAAGGCGGGAAGGGAGAGACAGGTCGAAAGTGGGGAGGGGCGGGGCGGGGTGGTGGGAGGAGAGGAGGAGAGAAAGCAACGAGGGGAGTAGTGGCTATGTTAAAATCTTTGCGTCATGCTCAATACGGTCCAATCCTGCACAGCAATGGTTACTGATGGGGCGGAGGGCCATATTGCGAAACCCTTATTCTGTTTCAATCAGATGCTTGATCAGCTGGGCTGGCACGTGATAGCTCCCATGGCTCCCCTGAGTGCGAACTGCCCCTCCAGGAGAGGTCGTCAAGTCTGAAAATAAATAAATAATTACCATGGAAACACGACGCGCCGAGGCAGAACAGGATTGCGGCCAGCCCCGCAGAGACCGTTGCACTCCTGGAAAGCGACATGTCTAGTGCGCAGCTACCAGCCTACTAAGAGTTCTTTTTCCCGCTCAAGCGGGTCTAAGATGGTTTGGGTGAACCAGGAGCTACCAGTCTAGGTTTTCCAGTAAGCAACACTGAAACGGAAAGTTGGGCTGCTGCTATCACGTGGAAAAGGCAATCTAGCTAAAGGTGCGTGAAAGAATGGGGAACGACTGATCAGCCACATTAGGGAGGGGGGCAATGCGATCGTTGGAAGTGGTGGTGGAGAGGGACGGAAGGAAAGTCCAGACATGGGGCGAGGTTGTTCAAAGTGTGCTTGACGAGATATATGCGAAAACGCACACTGGGTTACGAAGTGGGTTTCCCCCCGCTAAGCATTTCGCGAAGAGGCGACAACGCCCACACGAAGTGGATGGGGGAACGAGTTCGAGGCGCGATCACCACACACGCAGTTCCGTGCGCAGTCCATACAGTACAGTACCCCGTGATGGTCCTGACAAGGGCGAACCGCAATGTCGGCTAGTCGAAGTGGGCTTTCAGCTCCGTGCGAATTTGGTGATGCCGACGCGTACATGACAATGCCGCCAAAGGGTTTTCGCGAAAATCACTCCACTCACGAGTATATCGAAAGGTGATGATACTGGGGGACACCACCAGCCCAAGCTTCTGTTGCTGCAGGATCCTGTGTGTTTGAAAAGTACAAAAGTTTACAGAGAGCCTTGATTTACACAGAAACGGAGAATCTAAGGACGGAGAATTTCTGGCTCGGTGGTTGTTGAGAATACAAGCCGCACAACAGTCCACTGCCCCCCGAAATTTGTGAAGCCGACAGGTCAGGAGGACTACGAGCCAAGGCTTGGGCTGCAGCTGGGTCTGGCTTCAGACTTCGATGTGATTGGTCTGTCTGTCTGGTCGTGACTCGTAGGTGAAGGCAGTACTGTACTTGCATGCCACCAGTTTCTTCGCAACACAAGTTCTGTGACGGGGCTTGTTCGCTAACTGTGGAAGCACCACAAGGCTTTACTGTCAACAAACATCCCACAAGAAAGAAGGCGTCCAGTTTGAACAGAACTACTCACTTTCACACCCAGTTCTGCCAGGTTCGGGTTCAGAAGGTCGTTCGCCAGAAAATGACCAGAAAATCAACACAACCCAATTCTCACAACCATTGTGCTACTTACGGAACCCGCTGAGAGGGGATGTGTGAATACAACCTCCGCAAATACCCAGTTGCAATACATTTCCTCGATTTGTCCTCTCGTTACCATGCCAAACTTCTAGGTCAAAATCAGCTCGCACTAAAAACGCGCGGCACCTCGCTGAACCGCAAGAAGACGAGCGTTTGGGAACAAGGCTGGCTCTTCAAGACAACCTTCACCTCCACCTGGCACTCAACAGAGCGAAACCCATCGTGAGGGAATGTTAAAAGTAGAGGGCGAGCTAACGTTTAGACATGTCAGGACTCACGAAAACGGGTTACCATACTGTGTGGACTTCTGTAGATCAGATGTCAGTGTTAAAAGCACTTCGGGAGCTTGGTTTTGGAAAAAAGGTTTCGGGGGTAGTATCGGGCAGTCCAAAATGGGCAGAAAAATAGTAACACAACCACCTACTGCTGTCGCATCACCTCGCAAGTCGAATTCAAGCTGAGGCGAAAATCTGCTTGGCGAGGCTCGTCAAAGTGTCGTGAGCTAGAAAGAATGGCAAATTTGCATGAGCAAAAAGTGGGTGGCTGCTCGAAATTTCATAGTCGGGCATCAGTTTGGGGAATTTTCATTGTTAAAAGTGACGCAAATGCACGAAAATGACGTCACAACACTTTCGGGGATTTCGGGGTTTCGGACGTCAGATTAGCTCATTTTGACGTCCGTCGCTACTTTTAACACCCCCTGAGGCTGGGAACGAGGCTGCGAATTCTGTATCAGTGCTTGGCTGCTGGGCAGAAGGCTTGACCAAGAGCATCCACATACCTTTTGGCGATTTCTTAGCGACGGTTTTAGCTCTGTCGACGTTGCGTCGTTGACTTTCAGTCGTCCCTTCTGCCTTAGGAGGATGGCTTATACCGCTCCAACAATGGCGACTTGGGTACTGATATTCACGCTTGGCCTTCTCAGCTCGAGCATTCCGCGAGCGAGATGCACCTTCCATGTGGAGATGCAGAGCTTAGTAATCTCATCCCCCGAAAACATCAAGGGAGAGTACCAGAGCGCTATAGCGAATTTCGGGACCCCTCAATATGGGGGATCCCTTCAGGGGGTGGTGATTTACCCGGATAAGGACACGCAACTGTGCAAGAAATCGTCGCGTAGTAACTACGGCAGGAAATCGGCGGCTGAGCTCCCGCACATTCTCCTCATCGACAGGGGAGGTAAGGCTGTCCACTCGCTAGCTAAGCCTGTAGTGGTAAATCCACGGCGTTAAGGTCTCACAATTGTTTTAGGAGATTCTCGCATAACTATGGCATGGCATCATCGGCCGAGCACTAACGAGGATATGTGGAGGAAAGCCATTCTTTTAATCAATCGTTCTCAAATCCTCTTTACCCTGGCTAAGTCATTCATCCGCCCTTTAGTCTTCCCCGCTTTTAGCCATCATCAGATTCTCCATATATCCAGTCCTTGTAAGTTTCCGTCTTTAGTACACATCTCAGGTTCGTCGCATCTCGAATGCGCAAGCCACGTCTCAGTTTTGAGTCGACTCAAAAGTCTTAGTACACATCTCAGGTTCGTCGCGTCTCGAATGTGCAAGCCGCGTCGCAGGCTCAGGCTCAGATTAGTTTTCGCCGCGTCTCAGGCTCTCGTCGAATTCCTTACCGCGAATCTCAAATTCAATAGCCAGCTCAGACTCCTCCCTTCCCTTGCGAAATCCCCCTCATCTCCTCCTCCCCCCCCCCCCCCCCCCCCCCCCCCCCCCCCCCCCACAACCCCCCTTCCCTTCCCGACGCTACGCCCCCTCCCCCCGTCTCAGGATGCTACTTCACCGCGAAAGTGTGGAACGCGGAGCTGGCAGGAGCATCTGCAGTGCTGATGGCGGACGACCAGAACGAGAATCTGATCACCGTGGCCTTCCCCGTGTGTTTTCAACCCTCTGTCTCAGGATGCTACTTCACCGAGAAGGTGTGGAACGCCGAGCTGGCAGGGGCATCCGCTGTCCTAATTGCGGACGACCAGAACGAGAATCTGATCACCATGGACTCCCCCGACGACGACCCCGAGGCGAAGCAGGCGGGCGACCTCATCAGCAACATCTCCATCCCCTCCGCTCTCATCCAGAAGTCCACCGCGACCGCCATCAAATCCGCTTTGAAGAAGAAAGAAATGGTCGTGGCGGCGCTTGATTGGCGGGAATCGCTCCCGCATCCGGACGCGCGGGTGGAGTATGAGTTCTGGACGAATAGTAATGATGAGTGCGGGACTAAGTGTGACATGCAGGCGAAGTTCTTAGAGGAGTTCAAGGGGTATGCGATCATTCTGGAGCAGCAGGGGTTTACACTGTTTACGCCGCACTATATGACCTGGTTCTGCCCGGAAACTTTGAAGGAGACCCGCCAGTGCAAGTTCCAGTGTGTGAACAACGGCCGGTACTGCTGCCCGGACCCGGAGGGGGATTTTGACAAGGGGTACGATGGGCGGCAGGTGGTGATTGAGAATCTTCGGCAGCTGTGTGTGTGGCGCGTGGCGAATGAGACGGGCGTGCCGTGGCTGTGGTGGGAGTATGCTGCTGACCTCAGGAAGCGGTGCCGCATGCAGGAGAAGAATTATAATCAAGAGTGTGCGGAGACCGTGATGACTGGACTGGGTGAGTGCGATTGCTCGTATGGGGGCATGGTACCATGTGGCTGTGGTGGGAGTACGCTGCTGACCTCAAGAAGCGGTGCCGCATGGAGGCGAAGCAGTTCAACCAGGAGTGCGCTGAGACTGCGATGACTGGATCTCATGGACTGGGTGGGTCTGTATGTCTGTGTATCTGAGGCGATTTTTGAGTCGACTAAAAAATCACCTACTGGACTGGGTGGGTGCGTATGTCTGTCTGTGCATCTGAGGCTGGTGACTCTTGCATCAAGGGGGTATGACGCCCGGCAGGTGCAGAAGGTGTGAGATTGTGACAAGGGGCATGACGGGATGGTAGGTTTTGAAAGGCGTGGGATTGTGACAAGGGGCATGACAGGTGGCAGTTGGTGATTGAGAATCTGCGGCAGCTGTGTGTGTGGCGCGTGGCGAATTAGACGGGGGTGCCGTGGGCTGTAGTGGGAGTATGATACCTGAGATGGTATGAAATCTTGGGCGTTTACCCTGAAAAGGAATTTGCAGACATGCATTGGTGGGGTATTTGTCCAAGGAAAGTGCAAGCACGCATGGGCGACAGAAGCGCGAGGGCCCAAGAGAAGCGTGCTTTGGGGTTTTCCCAGACATACCGGCATACGCTTAAAAGCATTGGCTTTGGTATTCCTCCTCTGTCTGCTCTGTCCCGTTCACCCAGCTATCGACGCCAAGAAGGTGCGCGCGTGCATGGGCGACGCCAACAGGCACGGACACAAAGTGCCCAACAGGCTGGAGACACGGATTTGACTCAGAATTCTCAAGAACAGGAGGGTGCGCGCGTGCAGGCGCGAACCCAACAAGCTTAACCTCAATACACTGACTTGACTCAAAGTGCCCTTTCTTTCTTACTGGGCGCGGCCCATACTGGCATGATTTCTGCGCAGGGGTTGACGCCAAGAAGGTGCGCGCATGCATGGGCGAGCCCAACAGAAACGCCGACAACCCCGTGCTCTCTGCAGAGCAGGACGCCCAGGTGGGGGGGAAGACGCCCAGGTAGGGGGAGGGGAGAGCGAGAGGCACTCAGAGGTGGGGGAGAAGGAGGCAAGTATAGGGGGGAGACAAGAGGATGCATGGGCGAGCCCCACAGAAACGCCGCAGAGCAGGATCCACAGGTAGGGTGGAGAGGCACGGCCAGCCCACCTCTTGTTCACTAGCTGGCCACGGGAGACAGTGGCCAGCTGTCGAACAAGAGGTGAGCAACTAGTGCACTGAGCACTTCACCCGCTCCCTTACCCCCCTATCCCTTGTCCTCGCCACCTTGCACCCCCACCCCACCTCTTCACCAGTTTTTCCCAGCCTCCTCTCCCCCACCCCACTCCCCCCCCCCTTTTCCAGCTTCCCCCCTGCCCATTCTCCTCGTCTCCCCTCCCACCCTCGTCTCCACCCTTGATGTTCCACTCTGTTTCCCCTCTCCTTTTCGTTTCCTTTCTCCTTTTCGTTTCCTTTCTCGTTTTCGGAGTTGACTCAAGGCACACCTTCCTTTTTCCTTCCCTCCCCCCCCTTCCTCCCTCCCTCCCTCCCTTCCTCCCTTCCTTCCTCCCTTCCTCCCTCCCTCCCTCCCTTCCTCCCTTCCTCCCTTCCTCCCTTCCTCCCTCCTTCCCTTCCTCCCTCCCTCCCTCCCTCCTTCCCTTCCTCCCTCCCTTCCTCCCTTCCTTCCTCCCTCCCTCCCTTCCTCCCTCCTCCCTTCCTCCCTTCCTTCCTTCCTTCCTTCCTTCCTTCCTTCCTTCCTTCCTTCCTTCCTTCCTTCCTTCCTGCCCCTCATGTATGCTTTCGTTTCCCAGGTGGGAACGCGTGGGAGGAGCGATGTTACAATGTTACCAACCATTGTGATCAATAACGTGCAGTACAGAGGTGGGTGGTGGATTTCAGTCAAGAGTTGAGCTGGCTGAACCACGGCTAACTTGTTCTTTAATCAACGCACGACCCGACGTACGTTTGTCTCCAGCCTGCCATGAGCAGGTTGAAATGAAACGCGCTTCAGCCAGAGCACGTTTCAGTAGTGCGCTCTGCACATCTCTGTCTAAAACGCGTTCGCACGACATGCTTGGGCCTATTGCGCCTGGCTTTCTGACTAATTAGTTTTCTTTGCATTCCTTCTCGCCATTTAGTTTGTCTAAGTTTTGGCTCTACTCTCAGAAGGCTTGCTACAGTTAAAAAATCTTATCATTATACTGTTTTTTCTGCAGTCCGACTCTGCTATATTCTTAGCTGCGTCGACTCAGGAATCCGGCTATCTCTCCAGCCTGCCATGATTCGTGATTATATGCCATGATTCGTGATTGTATGCCATGATTCGTGATTATATGTCATGGGCTTTTGTGGCATGTCACATGGCATGTTCTGGTGTGTGATTGCATGTCACGGCAATGTGATGGCGCGCGATGGCATGGATTGACATCATGGTTTGTCATGCATGGAAATTTAATGCATGCATGGTGATGGCATGCATGGTGATCACATGCATGGTGATCACATGCATGGCAATCACATGCTTGCATGCATGCATGGCAATCACATGCTTGCATGCATGCATGGCAATCACATGCTTGCATGCATGCATGGCAATCACATGCTTGCTTGCATGCATGGCAATCACATGCTTGCATGCATGGTGATCACAGGCAAGTTGGAGGCCAAGGCGGTGCTCAAGGCCATTTGCGCGGGGTTTGAGGAGTCCACAGAGCCGCCCATCTGCCTTGGCGCTGGTACGTGCACAGAGCCCTATGTGGCATGGAATGGGTATGCTCATCGTAGTAGGGGTGTTGGCTCATGGGAGGAGAGCAGCAAGCAAGCTGGAGGTAAAGGCAGTGCCCAAAGCCATCTGCTCTGGAGCTGGTACGTTCACGGAGTGGGTACGCGCTTACATTAGTGTACTTAGCTCTTGCAAAGTTCATTGGGGCTCACCGAAATATTGTGTGCAGAAACTCGTAAGAAGCTTTAAGAGTGGCCAATCAGCAACCAATTAGCAGCCAATCAGGGATTAGAGTTGCCATCAGCAGCCAATTTTTTACCTCGTTGCCTTCTGGCTTGCCTTTTCTCCCCAACCCCCCCCCCCCCCCCCCCCCCCCCCCCCCTCCCCTTCCCCCGCACATCATCAGAGGTGCAGACCAACGAGTTCTCTGAGCAGCAACGGGGCATGCTGGCAGGGGCAAAACCTCACAGCACTCTCTTTGCTCACTGCCGTTGCAGCGCTCTGCTTGCTGTTTCACACAGTCTGTGCCGTTTCCCTTGTCCCCCCCCCGTCTCTCCTGACTCGTCTCGCCAGAGGTGCAGACCAACGAGTGCCTGAGCAACAATGGCGGCTGCTGGCAGGGGCACAACCTCACTGCGTGCCGTGTAAGTTACGGTTGAATCACATTCTTTCTGTAGTCACACTCAAGCCTTGTTTCTTTTTGTTCGCAGGGTCAGAACGTGTTGTTGGTACACCTCTCCCGCATGATGATTCGTTTGGACCGTTCCAAAGACCAACAGGGTCACAAACAACAGTCAGGATCGCAGCCCGACTGTTTGGACTGCCAGGGGAGGAGGGGGGGGGGGGTGAGAGATGCAACTCAGGAGTCACGTGGTCAACGCAAGGGCACCTACGCCACATGCCCCCACTATCCCGATCCCTTGAGGCACAGGGACCCCAATTTCTGAGGTGCCTCAAAAATAGACTCTTGAGGCACAGGGACCCCAAAGATCCTGCGACTTTTGAATCAACTCAAAAGTCAGCTTGAGGCACAGGGACCCCAAAGACCCTGGGACAGGCGTGGAGGTATACTCAAGAACCACAGCGACAAGCCGTGGGCCATCATATTCTAATGCCCCACGGCTTGTCGCTGCCCTCTCCATCGCAGGATACGCTCAGAGGCAGGGTGTGCTGAGAAGGAGTTGGATTCGATCCGCAGCAAGCCGCTCCAAGGGCCCTGCTACAGCCGTAGGAGGCAACTCAAGGGTCGCCTATAAGTTATATTTCCCATTCATGTTCCATTGATGCTCCCTGCCCCCCGTGGACTTCCTTCCTCACAGGATACGTTCAGAGGCCGGGTGTGCGAGTGCCCCAAGGACCCTGCCACGGGCGTGGGAGTAAACTCAAGAGTCGCCCTGCCTCACGCCCCCTGTTCTAATGCCCCATGGCTTATCCTGCCCTCCCCACCCTTGCAGGACACGTTCAGAGGCCGTGTGTGCGAGTGCCCCAAGGACCCTGCCACAGGCGTGTATCTGACGGGGGATGGCTACACCAAGTGCGAGCGTAAGTGCTTTGCTCGGCATACATGCATGGTTGTGCACTATCCCTGGACGTGTATGTCACAGGGGATGGCTACACCAAGCGCAAGCGTAAGTGCCTTCTCACTCTAGTCCAGCTTCGACTGTGAGCCGTCTCCGTCTGTTGTTGTGCAGGGTGTTTTTGGAAATTCTGAAAAACACCCTGCACAATCAAGTGCGAGCGTAAGTGCCATCTCACTCTAGTCCAGCATCGACTGTGAGCCGCCTTCGTCTGTCTCCTTTCCACCATCTACTCCCCCTCTGCTCTCGTTGTCCGTTCGGATTCGTCTTCCTCTTCTTTCCCACCATATGCGCCCACTATATGTCCTGATGCCATGTGCAGCGGCTGGTGTGGGCCGGTGCCTGGTGGGCAACGGCGGCTGCTGGCAGTCCCAGCACGAGGGGAAGACATACACCGCTTGCCATGTGAGTGCCTGTGATAATTTTTTAGGCGCCTAAAAAATGGCAGTGGGGGCTGCTGGCAGTCCCAGCACGAGGGGAAGGCATACACCGCTTGCCATGTGAGTTGCTGGGCCGCTGTGGTGCCTTTCCAGTCGGCTCTAAAGAAAATTTGCGGTGCGTACTCAGAGAACAAGCAGCAGTCGTAGCAGCTGTCCAGTTACTATTGAGGCGCCTCAAAAGTCGTTTCATGTGAACGAGAAGCAGTTTTAGCAGCGGTCCAGTTACCTTCTCCTTTCCGCCTTCTGAGTTTCTCCCTGCCGTCTCTCTCTTTCTTCTCGGCTCTCTTCTTTCCGAAGCTTCGATCTTGCGAGTTGAACCCCCCGGCCACGCCCTCTCCCCCCCGCACCGCTCACCCCCCAAGAAAGACAGCTCTGTTTCTTGCTTCACGTGTCCCCCGGGTTTCACCCGCAACAGGCAAACACTGGCAGCAGGCATTCACTGGCAGCAGGCATTCACTGGCAACAGGCATTACTTTGACAAGTGTGCGCCCACCCACCCTGCCTGCAATGTCCGTTCCCCTTCCTGCCTCCCCCCTTTCCTCGTCCCTCACCCCAAGCAGGACAGCAGCATTTCTTCTGGTACTTCGTGTGTGTGTCCTCCTGGTTTCATTGGCAACGGCCACCACTGCAACGACATCGACGAGTGTGCCCCCTCCCACCCGGCCTGCAAGTGCCCCGAGTGCAAGTGCCGCAACACCTTTGGGTCGTACGAGTGCTCGTGCGTGGGCGAAAATATGGTGTATATCGACCAACTCGAGGCGTGCATCAGTGAGTGAAGAGTGCAGGGAGGCAGCTAATAAGGGGTACAGACAGGGTGGCGTGAGCAACACCTTAGGGTGGTACAAGTGCTCCTGTGCGGGCGAAAATATGGTGTGTACTGACCAGCTGGAGGCGTGCATCAGTGAGTGGGGGCCGCTTATAAGGGGTACAGGCAGGGTGGTACTACGAGTGCTCGTGCGTGGGTGAAACCACGGTGTATACCAACCAAATCGAGGCGTGCATCAGTGAGTAAAGTGGCAGCTGGCAGCTGATAAGGGGTACAGCGGGTGTTGGCTGGCTGTCCCCTCATCCGTCCGCACACATCCCCTCTCACCTCTCACTGGTACGCCCCATTTCAGGGCGGAGGAGCCACCAGTGTGTTGCTCTTGATCGAGGTGACTTTTGAGTCGACTCAAAAGTCACCTTATCACCCCTCTCGCCTCCCACTTTCACCCCCCATTTCAGGGTAGAGTAGCCGCCATTGTGTTGCTCGTTGTCGTTCGTTGCTTTTGCATGCTGATGATGATGCTGATGACTGCATGAGTGCATCAGTGCCGTCGTCTCGGGGCAGGTGGGATGATCCCAAGCGCCTGCTGCCACTGCCCTCATCCTCATCATCCTCCTCCTCTTCTTCCTCCACCTCTTCCTCTTCCTCCTCCTCCTCCTCCCCTCCCTCACCATCCACATCATCATCATCATCTTCTTCTTCATCCCCATCCTCCTCTGCCTCCACGCCATCCCCCAGCAGTCTCCTCCTCGCCACCTGGAACTGCCTCACCTGCTGGCCTCTTTCTGCATACGGCCTCTCCCCCACCTCCCTCTGTGTTGGAATTTATAGGCATCGTGCTGCTCTTCATTGCTGCTCTTGTTTTTTCCCCCAATGTTTCAACTCTCTCACACCCATCAGCCAGGGTATCTGAGAGCTCGGCTCCTCCTCGCACCCTCTGGGGCGGAGTAGTGGGCATTGTGCTCGCCTTCGTCGTCGTTTTTGCAGGGCTTGGATATCTACTGTACCAGTATCACCTTCGTGTAAGAATGCCACTTCCAATATTCTTCCTGTGCATGCGAGCAGACATTAGGCCCTTCTGCAGCCTTATCACCTATGCGTTACCCAGTTGCATGCGTAGCACCTTGTCCTTCCATGTCTTTTGCTTCCTGCCTCTGCGACAAAATCCATTTCTTGTGTTTTTTTTTTTTTTTTTTCGCACTTGACCCCTTCATTTCTGACGCGTGTTTGTGTTGTATGAGCAGACACATGTTGATTCTGAGATCCGGGCAATCATGGCGCAGTACATGCCATTGGACGAAGCCGACGAAGTTCCGACAGATGTCATCGGCCAGAGGCTTGTGCGCATGCAAGATGCCAACAACTAAGCTGGTGTTTGAAGAAATTATGCCATGGATGTTCAATTTCTGGAGCACGAGCCAAGAAATGCGTTTGCCAAGACGCATTTTTAGTACCTAATGTTTGTTACCCATTGTAAGTTAGTGAGCTGAGATATTTTTGTAGTATTTTATGTCTATGCTCTCATAGCTGTAACACCACATCGGCGACTGCATCTTTCGCGACAAATCACTGACCGTGAGACATGAGTTGCTGAGGCAGCAGGGAGTTGGAACTGCTGACTTGCTGCTGCTGAGTGTTGGCCTGGGCTCTCTCTGACGCATCACCAACTCCAACCTCCAGAAATCCACGTCACACGCAGGACAAACGGTTCTGGATTCCCGAGGGGCGTTGAGAGTGTCCCGAGATTGATTTTCCAGATCACTTCGTTCGGTATAGCTCGATGCGTGGCGTTCCAAAGCGGTGGACAGCGTGAACACACTGAAGGAAGTGATTACGGACTTGTGGGATACTGTACCTCACAATTCACGCGGGACGCCCCCGCCCTGAGGCTGAGATGCCAGTAAGTGTGAGAAGCAGCGGAAGCCATTGATTTCATCAGTAGCAGCAGCAGGAGGAGCTGGACCTGATAATAGCACTGGATGTGGTAGAAGGAGCAGCAGTAGCAGCAGCAGCTGAGGCAGACGCTCCTGCTTCAGATTGTGGGAGACGTGACAGACCTCCTGTCACCCTGAAAACAGCAAGAGAATTCGCCAGGCTGTGCTTCTGCTGCTAACTGGGGCACGCACCGCTAGTCTTCCCCCGGTGTCTCATATTCCTTGTTTCCGTTCCGTTAACGGCTCCTTTATAAACGACTCTTTTCGAGACGCCTTCTATCGAGACGAGTCCTTTCGAGACGACTCAGCAAAGTCGCCTGTGAATCCACGTGGCACGTCATGGCGAGTCGTGCGTGCGCTATTGCTGTCGCACGGCGATGCTTTCGCGAAATTGAACGAACGCTGCGACAAGCAGCTGGTTTAACTCCGCCAGTTACTGTAGGCGCATCCGGTCAGACTACTGCTGAAATCGGACACTGGAGAAGCATCGTGCGAAGCTTCATGAGCTCGCCACGTCAGCAGCAGGTGGCTCAGCTGTCTTCTCCGTCTGTTCTCCTTTCCCCTGTTTGCACTTTCCGCATTTTTTTGGTTCGTCAAGAAATTGTCGTTTCTTCAGGAGTTATTCTTAATACCTGCTTCAAATTTCCAGAACCTACTTTCTTAAGGGGTCGACATAAGATTCGCCTTATACACCCCCTACCTGCCAATGTCTCACTTCTCCACAGGAGCCCAAACTGTCGTCAGCTGCTACGCCAGCCTCCACGACACCCTCCACGTCAGCCTTCACGTCAGCTTCCACCTCCTCCTCGTCATCATCATTAGCACCAGCACCAGCACCAGCAGCGGCAGCGGCAGTGGCAGTGGAAGTAAGCCACGAGTTCCCAGGAGCGCGAATGGCATTCACCTCGGAGCTCCACTTCGTGCCTGAGCTGCCAGAGTCGCCTGTGCCGTGCTTCCGAGTGCTGGACCACGAGGGGGGGCTGCTGGAAGGAGCAGAAGAACCAGAGGTGAGTGTTGGGAGGAGGGGGTATAATCAGGAGAAACAGCAGAAAGAGTGGTGGGTGATGAAGAAAAGACGCCAGAGTCGCCTGTGCCGTGCTTCCGAGTGCTGGAACACGAGGGAGGGCTGCTGGAAGGAGCGGAAGAGCCAGAGGTGAGTGAGTGAGGGAGCGAGTGAGAGAGTGAGTGAGGGTGTGAGTGAGGGGAAGATAGGGACAGCGCTCATGGCATTCACCTCGGAGCTCCACTTCGTGCCTGAGCTGCCAGAGTCGCCTGTGCCGTGCTTCCGAGTGCTGGACCACGAGGGAGGGGGTAATAGCAGGGGCAGGGGAACCAGAAGCGAGTGAGTGAGGGAGTGAGTAAGGGAGTGAGTGGGAAGTAAAGGGAGATAGGAACAGCCACCCCTTTAGACTAACCACAAACGACGCACCTCAGCTCTCCCAGTCAGACGCGGAGCACATGTACCAACCAGCCATGGCGGAGCTGCAGGCACTGGATTCTTTTTTTGGTGCTCTCCCCTCCCCCTCCCTCTCACCCTTCTCTCCTCCTCTCCTCCTCTCCTCCAGCTCTCCCAGTCCGAAGCAGCGCGCATGTACCAAGCCAACGACTCGCTGTTCTCTGAGGCACAGCGGCAGTGCAGTTAATCCCGCTCGCTTTCCCTCTTCCCCCCCCCTCTCCCCCCCAACTCCCAGCTCTCCCAGTCCGAGGCAGCGCGCGTGTACCAAGCCATGGTGGAGCTGCAGGCGATGGACTCGGTGTTCTACGAGGCACAGCGGCAGGATCATCAATCCCTCTCTCTCCCCCTTCCCGTCTCCCAGCTCACCCAGTCCGAGGCACAGCGCATGTACCAGGCCATGGTGGAGCTCCAAGGCATGGACTCGGTGTTCTACGAGGCACAGCGGCAGGGAAGCGAGATCCCACTCCGTCCCTTCTCACTGCTCCCCAGCTCTCCCAGTCCGAGGCAGCACGCATGTACCAAGCCATGGTGGAGCTCCAAGCCATGGTGGAGCTGCAGGCGATGGACTCGGTGTTGAGTGCCTCCCCCGCTGCCCCCTCCCTGCTCCCAGCTCTCGCAACCAGAGGCAGCGCACATGTACCAAGCCATGGTGGAGCTCCAAGCAATGGACTCGGTGTCAAGTGCTCTCCTTTCCTTCTCTCCTTTCCTTCTCTCCTTTCCTTCTCTCCTTTCTACCCTTCTCTTTCCCTCTTATCTTCTCCTCTCCTCCAGCTCACCCAGTCCGAAGCGCAGCGCATGTACCAGGCCATGGTGGAGCTCCAAGCCATGGACTCGGTGTTCTACGAGGCGCAGCGGCAGGGCCGCTTCTCCTTCTACATGACGACAGCGGGGGAGGAGGCCGTCAACATAGCGTCTGCGGCTGCCATCCACGCCCACGACCACGTGTTCGCACAGGTGAGTTTCCACGCCTTTCCTTCCTTCCCAGGTACGTTGACAAGTACCAGGTGTTTGTTTTTTGAATCGACTCAAAAGTCACCTCGTTGACAGGTACCAGGTGTTTGCACTGAAAGGGAGGCACCTGAAGGCAGGGCGGGTTCTCCTTCTACACGACCACGGCGGGGGAGGAGGCCGTCAACATAGCGCCGCCTGCTGCCATCCACCCGCACGACCACGTCTTCGCCCAGGTGTGTATCCACGCCTTTCCTTCCTTCGCATGTACTTTGCACTGAAAAGGAGGCGCCTAAAGACAGGGCCGGTTCTTCTTCTACATGACGACGGCGGGGAAGGAGGCCGTCAACATAGCGTCGGCTGCCGCTATTCACCCACACGACCACGTGTTTGCACAGGTACACACCTTGCATTTGAGGGCCTTAGAGTCAGGGCCGGTTCTCCTTCTACACAACCACAGCAGGGAAGGACGCACGCTACGGCTCGTGCCACACTACCCCGCCTCCCCCCCCCCTTCCCCCCCTCGTGCAACATTACCCCCCTTTCCCCCCCCTTTCCGCCCACTTCCCTGTTCTCTGTTCCCTGTTCTCTGTTCTCTGTTCTCTGTTCTCTGTTCTCTGTTCTCTGTTCTCTGTTCTCTGTTCTCTGTTCTCTGTTCTCTGTTCCCTGTTCTCTGTTCTCTGTTCTCTGTTCTCTGTTCCCTGTTCCCTGTTCTCTGTTCTCTGTTCTCTGTTCTCTGTTCTCTGTTCTCTGTTCTCTGTTCTCTGTTCCCTGTTCCCTGTTCCCTGTTCCCTGTTCCCTGTTCCCTGTTCCCTGTTCTCTGTTCTCTGTTCTCTGTTCTCTGTTCCCTGTTCCCTGTTCTCTGTTCTCTGTTCTCTGTTCTCTGTTCTCTGTTCCCTGTTCCCTGTTCCCTGTTCCCTGTTCTCTGTTCTCTGTTCTCTGTTCTCTGTTCTCTGTTCTCTGTTCTCTGTTCTCTGTTCTCTGTTCCCTGTTCCCTGTTCCCTGTTCTCTGTTCTCTGTTCTCTGTTCTCTGTTCTCTGTTCTCTGTTCTCTGTTCCCTGTTCTCTGTTCCCTGTTCTCGTTCTCTGTTCTCTGTTCTCTGTTCTCTGTTCCCTGTTCCCTGTTCTCTGTTCTCTGTTCTCTGTTCTCTGTTCTCTGTTCCCTGTTCCCTGTTCCCTGTTCTCTGTTCCCTGTTCCCTGTTCCCTGTTCCTCTGTTCTCTGTTCTCTGTTCTCTGTTCTCTGTTCTCTGTTCTCTGTTCTCTGTTCTCTGTTCTCTGTTCTCTGTTCTCTGTTCTCTGTTCTCTGTTCCCTGTTCTCCCTCCACTTTTGAGGCGCCTCAAAAGGCCTTTCCCTGTTCTCCCTCCACCCCCTCTCTGCTTTTTCCCATCAATACCGCGCGCATGGAGTGTTGCTGTGGCGCGGATTCTCCCTTCCAGACTTCGCCAACCAGTGCGTGGGAAACCAGCTGGACGCAGGCAAGGGTGCCTCACTGCCCGCCTCCTTCTCCTCCCCCTCCCCCCCGCCTCCAATACCCCATCAGTACCGCGAGCCAGGGGTGCTGCTCTGGCGCGGTTTCTCCCTCCCGGACTTCGCCAACCAGTGCATGGGCAACCAGCTGGACGCAGGCAAGGGCCGCCAGATGCCAGTTCACTACGGGTCAGCAGAGCTGCTGTTTCACACCATCTCCTCGCCGCTAGCGTGAGTCATCATCTCCTCCCCTCTACAGCGAGGTGTTTTGTGTCATGATGTCAGGAATCGACCACCTGGACGCAGGCAAGGGCCGCCAGTTGCCGGTGCAGTTTGGGTCAGCAGAGCTGCGGTTTCACACTATCTCCTCGCCGCTAGCGTGAGTTGTTCTCTGGAGGGCTCATTCACCTGCCAAGGGAGGACTTGTTTGAACAGAAGCAAGGGGCGCAGATGCCTGTGCACTACGGGTCTGCAGCGCTCAGTTTCCACACCATCTCCTCGCCCTTAGCGTGAGTGGTTACTCTAGCGGGTAATATCATGTGGTAAGGGAGAGACCACTTGACTTCTGGCAAGGGGAGTCAGATGCCCATGCACTATGGGTCTGCGGAGCTGCGGTTTCACACCATCTCTCGGCGCTAGCGTGAGTGGTTACTCTAGCGGGTAACTTCATGCGTTAGGGGAGAGAGCACTTGATTTCTGGCAAGGGGAGGCAGATGCCATGCCGGTGCACTGCAGGTCTGCAG